ATGTTGTTTGACTTAGAAGGAGTATTAAAAACAAAATCCTGGAAGTATTGCAGTATATTATATTTCAATTTTTTCTGTTCCCAAATAACTCTTTAGTAAAGGGGTGTTGATGAAAATTGATATTCATTGGAGCCAAATATGGTAAGCAGTAAAAGTGAGGAAGGAAAAAATGCTTATTGCGAGTTTAGCTCAAACCAAATCCATCTAAATAAATCAAAGAAATCATAAGAAAACAAATTAATATCATATAAATTAATATCATATAAATATAATATCATATAAATTAATATCATATAGCAAAATCATATAAATTAATATTTAAGCCATCATTTATAACAAACCTTGCATATACGCTTGCTTTTTATCAAATAAGATATCAACTAAGCGAAGGAAATGATCTTTGAAAGCTCGTTTATTTTTAAATGATAGATTATCAGATGATTATCAGATAGTTTATGGTGGTTTATCAAACTTATTGACTGATAAATAAAGTACAAATCCGTTTTTCTCTCCTCAGTCAAACTGAGTATGGTTTCATGGTACAAAATGATCAATTAATTTTTTCCCATATTTAACTGATTTAACCTAGGCAATAAAATTTTCGCTCTTTTATAGGCATCAAATTTGATTGAGGCAATAGTCGAATGGTTGAGCGTGAGCCCTTCTTGCGGCGGCAGTAAACCCATCATTAAAAATCCAAGCTGGGTCCCAATCAGAAATGGTTCAACAACTATAACAAGATTAAAGCTACCAAAATTCAGGAATGGGAAAATTTAGAAAAATTGGAATTTGGAGCATTTTTGAGGATTTAGGCAGATCTAATGATCGATTTACAAATATTTCTAGGATTCTCCATAATTCGATTAACATTCAATAATTAATTTTTCATCTCCATTATAATCTATTTATATATATTTATATATATATATATATATACGTATATATTCTAATCTAAAAATTGTAAATTTTCCTTCTCGCAGCTAAATTTCCATTCGAGGTTCACGTGAATCGTCCGCAACATATCTTGATAAAATCTCAATAATATCTCAATAATATCTATTTTTTTAGTTAATTTATTTAAATTCTCTTTAACTTATCATCGGATTATGTCAAACTTATCATCCGCTTGGCAAAAAATTCAAACTTCCTTAAAAACTGCTTCTCACTTTAAAATTATTTCTTATTATATTCTATTCCATATCTACCATTTTTGCTTTGGCTACTTTCTCAACCATAATCTGAATATATTGATGGATGAGAAGCAGTTTTTCATCCTAAACCATTTGGGGACGCCTGCATCATTTTCAGCATCATTTATGCCTCATTTTCAATTAAAGGCTCGCTGACGTCAACAGATTAGTGTTGCGTGGCCTCAACATACAACTCGGCTATTCTAAAATCATTGTCCAACCATTCGAATTTATTTTTCATCACAAATCACTTATGAATTAATAAGCCAATAATTAAAACTCTATGAAACTCAAAATTTCAAATTCAAATTTCTTCAATTCCTTAGTGTTTTCTTTTTATTTTAGGTTATTTTTCTGCCAACTCCTACTCTGTATTTCTTTAAAGTAAAATTAATCAATTAATCTGGCAAGATTTTTGAAAATGCCCTTTGTTTTTTTTCTTACCATACACCCACAATCAGCAAGGCAAGGATGATAGGCTTGCCTTGATGTAAGTCGAGTATTAGGGATGATAAGCCTCTGATTGAAGAATAGAAGTAAAGAAGTGTTAAAACATTTGAGCAGACCTTGCAACCTACTCTTATTGTCAAGTGACAAAAATTTGCAGACAAAAAAAATTTATCAACAATCAGCGGAGCTTCACCAGAAATGGCCAGCACTAGCCAATTTTTTTCACATGAACTCGTGGAAAAGACTTGCAATATACGATAGTCTTTTTGCAAATTCTATTCAAATTAAGATAAATCCTAAGAGTCAAAGATCTGCTTGAAAATGCTTAATTTCACGGAAATCTAATAAAGTGGTTAGCGTTTACTGTTGTTGGTAAGGTATGCTCCACTGATTATTAGTATGATGAAAAATTTTGGAAATTATTGACAACAGAATTACAGAACTGGCAACGTCATCCAGATTTATCCAAACACTATCCTTTTTTGAAATTTAATTCAGGTGATGGTAGAATGCCTTCTTGTATCAGTTCTTCTCCTTTGCAAATACTCTTTTGTTACCAATTTAAAAAAAAAATTTACCAAAGGATTATTTTAATGATATTTTTCCCTATAATTTGACGAATGTTACTTTCTTTTCCACTAAATTTTTTTCACTTCTTTTTTTTAGTTCCATTTTTTCTTAATAATAAGCTTATAGAAATATGATAATAATAATGATAATATAACAATAGAGCCATAGAAGAACAGTAAGAGAAAATTTCTCAATAAACTCTTTTTTTTTTAAACGACGAATTGGAAAATTATCGTTGGAATAAAGGAAGAAATTATGGAAAATTATGAGTGGTGGGGTGGGAGAATAAGGGAGCCAGATGGCAGCAGTTAATATATGTTTAAAGGCTTGCAAATTTTGTTGTTCAATTTTTTCTTAAAATAGCGAAAAACATTAAAATGCTTGGCAGAATTAGCAAAGAGTTATTTTCTTTTCTATTGGCTTCGTTGGTTGTTCCAGCTTCATTTAGGAAAATAATTAAAAAATGTTCACATTTTTTTATCTAAAATCGATTATCGTTTGCCCTTGTTTTAACCTTTTGCGGATTGTGCCTTGTTTCCTTTCCATTTCAGTTGTTTATTGCCTTAATTAGGCCAATGGTAAAGCAATCAGAAACGTTATCTTTATTATCTTTATTAGTTAGGTATCAAGCCTTTATTAATCCTTAAAAAAGTGATTATTGTTATATAGAAATGAAATTTTTTTAGATATTTTTTTGAAAAATTTCAAAATTTCTCTGGATAATTTTTATCATTGGCAGAAAAAATTTTTTATGATAGGTCATGATAGGTTATGATAAAATATTTTTAGATTGTGAAGAAATAGAAGAATATTTTTTTAGACTTTGCAAATCGGTGCTTGAAAACGTTTATTTATTTTGTGCTAATGATGAGCCTAATGAGTGGGGTCCCAAAGCTGAATTAGATAAAGGCCAATTTCTACGATGCTGCACCGTATTTCACTTCAAATGGCGGCAGGTTTACTCCTCATTAAAGGCAGAAATGAAATATTTCATATTGCTTACCGTCTGAAAAAATAATACACCACTCAGCTATTCTATTCCTATATGAGGCACGAAATTTTCATTGATAATTCTTAATTATATCATTAAATATAGTAATTCGAATATAATTTTTTCTCCAATCATTTTTTCCTTATCACCTGCTGCTTGGAGAGCAATTATCTAAACTTTTATTAGGAAAATTTGCCAAATCCAAATTCGAAAACATCCCCTTTAACTATTCATATAAAGCAGCCTTTGTAGATTGTTGACTCCGCTTTACTATTTGTGGCCCAACTCTGCTTCTTTCTTTTAAATTCCAAATACGGTAAGGAATGATTCTATTGTCGCCTATTTTGTTTCAATGACTTTTAGTTGAACCAAAGTTTTCATATTTTATCCAATTATGGCAATAGTTTTAGGAGTCTTTTAATCTATCTGCCTTTTAATAAAAAGTTTCACACATTAAACTATCAAATTACTGATATTTGCATAACTATATTTTGCCACAAATAAAACAATCGACCACTCTTTTCATTTGTTGTTGGTTGATTTCCATACAAATAGAAATTTATTTTTTTACCCCAAAATGTTTTTTGCCTAAAGGTTTTCCAACCGATCAGTTCGAGAACTCAATGTTTTTTGCGATTTCTCTTTAGGATTGGTTGTTAATGAAAAATACAAGATTGATGACGAGAAAAAAGAAAATAATATTTAGAAAATGTGCAATGAAACATTCTTATCCTGCGGCAATAAATTGGTCGCCTGGGCTGAACTGAATCTAATTTGCGATATAAAAAGCGCATAGATAGAAGAACCGACGTCACTTCCATTTTCCGTACTACTATTTTAATTTTTTTTTTCTTCATCCTATTTTTATTATTTACTTAAGTGCCATTATTGTTAAACAATTTGAATGCCTGAAAATTTAATTCAGTTTACTCGGCAGCTTTCGATCTTATCGGCCACTGTTCTAAAATCTTAGCCAAGTTCGCATTTATCGCATTTCAGAAGCCATTTGCCATTATACTTTTAATGCTTTTTTAACTTTATTACTGATTTTCTAGCCAACCAATCAAATATGTAGTAAAATAGCAATAAGCAATCAGCGGTATTTTTCCGAGATTTTCTCAAAAGTAACTTTTTGCAAAATGAATTTCAGCTGAAAAACTAATTATTCAAAAAGAACAAAAAAAAGAAAATTCTATAAAAAAAATAAATAATTTATTCATTTAATATAATCGAGCTAACTTTTAAAGTTTTTTTCGAACAAAAATTAAAATAAATTATACATTAAATCGATTAAATTATAAGTTAAGTTATTATAAATTATTATAAATTATAAGTTTTTTATAAGTTACGAAAAATATGTATAATTTTCTAGTTTTTTTTTTTTATTGCCTTCATACTTCCTTTATTTTTTTTTGTTGTCTTCATCTTTGACAGAAATAAGCCTGCCATATATAAGTTGCTGGGGATTACCTTGTAAATATATCCCCAAGTGACTCTGTGGTGAAAGAGCCGGGTTTTCTTAACATGGCTCCATGATCATCCATATCATCCATTTCTCAGCCCGGCGGTACATGTGATAAGTGTGCAATCCAGGCATAGTCAAAAGACCTCAAGACATAATCTACTCGCGAACCACGGCAACTGCTCGAAAGCTATCAAGGGCGAGCGGTAAAAGTGTTAGCAGTAGGAGCATGGAATATCTGAACGCTTATGGACAGGTCAAGCGATCTCTCCACATTTTTTCTAAATATCGTCTATGTCGCCTGATCGTCGGAGGTACATCTTTCACAATTCGAGTCTCATGCAATTACCAAACTTGGTTCCGAGCAGTATCGTTGTGGAGTTTCGGATAACTCAGGGCGAAATGGCATAGCGATTTTCATGTGTAAAAAAGCTCGGTCCGTTCGATTGGGTGGAAATCCACATGACCTATGCTTGCTTCAAAGGAAAATTCTACAATATTTCGGTCATCAGCGTGTATGCTTCAATTTTATGTGCAGATGACCGCGATAAGGATAACTTCTGTGAGGAACTCTAACTATTAGCATCTACCGAACTCTACCGAAAGGCGACATGGTCATAATCGAGGGAGACTGGAATCATAATCGGGAAAGAATGGAATGCATGCATAGGACATGATGTCGCCACGATAAAGTCAGTAATTAATTAAAAAGTCAGTAAATATGGCATTGAGGTTGAATGCGCCAATAAAAAATGTCTTCATTGTTTTGCCGAACAACATAAGCTCTTACTAATAGTACTTCCGGCATCGGAGAAGACATCTAGTCACGTGAAACTCTTCGGATGACCAACATTCCGATCAGATTGATTATAAGATAGAAGGAATTTTTTGAACATGTTGCAATTTCGAGCAGCCAACAAAAGAGGAAATGATCTCTGTCATCCAGAAACTTAAGGCCAATAAAACTTCTGGAGAAGATGGTCTTCAGGCTGAACTCTTCAAATGTTATCCATCGTCCTTCATATTAAACATTCAACAAATGTTTGGAAGAATGAAATAATACCAGATGACTGGAGCAAAATATTTCTGCTTCCAATTTCTATGGAAGTTGACAGGACATTTTGCGACAGTTATCGAAGAAACCTCTTATAGAATAGACTTGTGGCAGCACGAGATAGCAAGATATGGTCTAACCAAGCTAGACGTCGTTGTGCTGACCAGAACACCGTTTCAATATCAGCAACCCACAACCACATGTTTCATCGATTTTGGAGCTGCCTTCGATTCAGTTGATAAAGCAGCGCTTTGGAGAGTGATGGAATGTGTCGGTATCGCAGAGAAAATCATTCGGCTCATGAAGGCATTTTATCAGCATACCGTGACAGAGGTCTGAGCGTATGTGGAACTGATAGACTTTTTTGAAATAATATGGTGCTGAGGACTGGACTTATCTTTTATTTCCACTTCCTGACAAAGATTTTCCTCAATTAAAAGAAATATCCTAGCCAAAAATGATGAGCGCATCACCGATTGATTATATCTTTCGCAGTTGGAAGAATTCAATAGTCATTCTTATCGTGGCGCTAAAACTAATAATTTTCATGGATCAGACTATGTTATGGTTCGTAAACTGACAACTTGCAAGAAAAAATATCTTTCAAGATTTTTTAACTATTTCAGATTAAAAGATTTGGACAATAAGTGTATTTTAAATCGAATTATTGAAGCACCTCAGTGAAATGAACATCAGTGGCATCGCTGGAATGGCAAATGAATACTGGTGCCAACTAAAAGAATGTCTCAGAAAGTCAGCCACTTTCTCATTAAAATATACTAGTAGGAAATATGCCAGTTGGATATCGGAATTGTCCAACTGAAAACGCTAAAATATGACTCTCGGATGATCGCGGTTATCTGGGGCTTCGAAAGATCACAACGACGGCAGCACGGTAGAAATCACTATTGGAGTGATATAGCCTTGAGAATGGAGATGGTGGATAATAGGAAACGTTTTCGCCTTCTCCACAAAGCAACTATAACTCGAGGAATGAAAGCGAAATGGTACGGCATAGCAATGGTACCTATTAAGAGCATTAAGGATCGCTTCGTAAGATGGAAAGAATTTTTTGAAGGCAGGCTTGACCACGTCATCTGTTATCCCGGAATCGCTCACCAAGCCATATGTTTACAGCTGCGAACTGCCAGGAGAATAAGAAATAATCTTCTTCATCCAAAAACTAAAGGCCAATAAAACTCGATATTCAGATCGGTTCTCCCTTCCATTCAGTTGTTAGAGCAATGCCTTGGAGGATGATGGAATGTGGCTGTGTTCTAGAGAAGATACGCCCCACACGCCTCATAAAGGCATTTCATCAGATACATCGCCACATATCCGTATATATGGGGAATTGAATAGATCGTTTTGAAATAAGAACCGATGTTCGTCAAGGCTGCATGCTTTTTCCTACAATAGGCGATAGATTGCACAATGGATATCGCCTGTCGGCATAAGAGATGTACAAATCAGTCCAGAGCATCACAGGTCTTGAATACTCCTTTTGCTGACATGATGAAATGCAAATAATGCTAAACAATATGTCGACAACTGCAGAATCGGACTCAGTTAAAATCTTTTCATCTTATTTACAAGAAGCTGATAAAATACCTATTTTCATCAACTCTTTGCCGGTTGATGAAATGCCAGATTTCAAATGTCTCGAATCCACTCTAATCCCAAATGGCTAAGCGAAAGATGAAACCCAGATAATGGCAGCTAGAAACGCATTCTTCTGGTTAGGGAAATCTTCATGGAGCCGTCGCGAAAGCACCATAAAAAGGAGAGTACGCATCTATTTAGCCTTGATTCGTTCGATCTTGCTATATGGCTGCGAGACCAGTGAAGGATATCTGACCAGCCATCTTACGGGCCCGCCGACCAGATAAGATCGCTCATGATCGCATCCAGTCTCGTTCAAATACCATTAACAGTAACAATACCATTGTCATTTTCGCTGGTTAGGGTGCCTTCGTCGCTCACCACAGGAGTTGACACGTATTTCGTTACTTGCTAAGCCTCGTGATGGATGGCAAAGTGAGTTGGTCCAATTAAGATCTGGAGTGATACAGTCAAAAAAGATTTTGAACGTAAAGGCGGACCATCGATATATGGACTTAGTAGATGCAAAAAGGAATGGCTTCTATTACTATTAGCATAACGCTAGGCCGAATAGCTTAGAGATATTTTAAGATGTTTTACTCTTGTAGCCAGCGGAACCAGCCTAACCAGTAATGGTGGGAGCTGTTAGAGGAAGAAGAATCGAGCCAAGTTAATTTTTTGCATATTTGACCAATATGCAAATCATTTCGAGAAGAGCAAACAGGATGGTCGAGTAACATGTTGCTTCATTGCTAAATCAAATCTTAGATTCAATTAGTATCACTGATAGGAGTAAACCTATCATTAAAAGTTAAATCCGGCTGATGTTGAGTTGTGGACTCAACTATATTTCCATTTCCATTTTTTTATTTTCATTTTTTCTTCTTCATTGACACTCTGCGAAATTGGTCTCATCTTAATAGCCAATAAACCAGAAAGAATGAGTACATATAACCATGGTAATTCATATTACCCGGAATTCGGCGTTTAATTTCCCATTTTTCCTCGTCAAATACCATGTGCTATTTTTGATTTGTATAGCTGCAACTAGGACAGGAGTTACTTGAGAATTGAGGCAACAGCTGATCATTTCACGTAATAAGACGCAAAAAACCGAACCTACGATGCTTGCCCTCATTTGGACTAAATATAATCTAAACTTATCATCGCTTTATGATATTTATATGTATATGTCATTCGTAGCCCAGGCAATAAGAATATTCATATTATGTGTTAATCGATTTTTGCTTCTATTAGAGCAAAAAAAATTAATTATTTACGGAATATATTGGACATGAGTAAGTAAGCAAGTTAGCGCTCACCATTTCTGGTAAGGCTAACTCCGCTAACTGTTGGTGTATTTAGGAATTTTTGTTAGAGAGTCACTTGGCGATAAAAGCAGGTAAGTCGTCAACATCGTCAGGATTTTTTGGTAACAGATTTGCCACTATAGGAAGTGAGCTTAACATTTATCTCTTAACACTAAGACAACAAACCAGCCGGCTATTCTGACCCTTTGAGTTGATTTCAAAATTCTTAACTTTATAATCATAAAATGGCTAATAATTTAAACAACTAACTAGATCAATATATCAATAAAGAAATTATAGCAGATAAAGATAGTGATAAATGAAAGAATTAATCAACAAAATTCTTTTTAAGCGAAATTTTTTTAGCGTCGATTAATCAATGAAGCATTTATCTTTAAAAAAATTGTTTTGTACAAATTTGGTATATTTATTGTTTTTTACTTTTATGGCTTTTTTAAAGGTAAACTGCTTAGATTTTGCCGTGAATAAATTCCAAGCACAATGATTCTCGCCTTTATGCACTCGACGAGCGCCGAGTGCATATGTACATGTACATAATTCCATTTTAAGCATTATACTTTTTGTTTTCATGGCTTTTGAATAGTTTTCTATTATTAATTCTTGTGAAATGTGGAGTTTCAGAATTCTGCTTTTTTAAGTGGACACCATTCACGATTTATAATAGCGCGAGGCCTTTGGCCAAAGTCACTATTACTGAGTAGAAGACGAGTGAGTCGTTTTGCATCACTCGGGATTTTACTTTAAACAACGTATTTACTCTAATTAAGACACAGGAATTGAAAGTGAAAATCCTTGAATTTAGTCGACCTTAGCCATTTAGCTATTCATTTAAGAATCGCGCTTTTTATATTTTTATAATCGTTTAAATTTACACTAACAAACTGTTTAAATTTGAATGAGCTCAAATTACGAAAATCATATCAAATCATAAGGTGCAATAATCCTTTAATTCCAATTCTTGGATAGTCTGTATAATCGATAAGGCAAAAAAAGCAGTTAGGGAAATGAGATGATAATTGGGTTATTGAGGCATTTTTCAATCATATTAACTTTTTGAAAATTTGTTATTCCTATGAAATTTTTTAATAATATAAATATCATTTATTGGATTCTTTTGTTCAGAAGGTTTCTTTTCATTCAGAATATCTCCGATCATCTATTCTCCGATAATTTCCCTATTGAACGTCAGACAAGCTTTTCCAAAATTTTTTGGTAATTCTTTATCCTCAAAGCTACGCTTGCTTTGGACCAGCGTTAAATCGTTTTCTGGAAATCGTTTTATGATAAAGGATTTAGATAGCTCCCAAGCATTTCGCTTCCCTATCATTGACTCGTCAAGAATCCCATCCCTATTTTGCCAAATAGTTGAAGTTGAAGCAACTTTCGACATTTTGTGTCTTTTGATTATCTAGCACAGTGCTGGAAAAATGGCTCGATGTGTTGTTGATTCATTGTTGATTCTTCGGATTTCATTTTCGTTTCCATTTTGGAAAATTATAATACCAACAACCAATGTTTTTTGTCCAATATTGAATTTTTTCGATTTTTAATGCAATTTCAATAATTTCGAGAAATTATTTATAAAATTTTCTCCAATATTTCAGTGAATTTTTGGCATAAATTCATTCATTGAATATTTTTATAACTTTTAATTTTTTTTGCTTTTAATATGATTGACAAAGCAGAGAGGTTTTTCAACAAAATGAAATGATATAAATATCAAATTTTCCACTCACTTCCAGATCCAGAATTTCTGACATAATCCAGTAAAAAATCATTCCCTGAAGAAAAGTCGTCTGAATCCGGCTTTCAAATATCATTACTGCCTTTCTCCTATTTAGCCAATATGTAGAATTTCTTTTTTAAAAATAATTATTTCACTTGCACACACACTTTCTTTTTATTGCCTTTTATAAAAATGAAAATAATTTTTAAAAACCGTTTTTAATCATTGCTTCTTAAATTGAAAGGTATAAAAGGCTAATAAGCAGACCATAATAAAAGTAACAGCATGATTTTTGCTTAGACCCTCTATCAACGTAAGAAATATAATCCTTAAAGTACTCATGTAGAAGGGCTAAAATTTCTGAAAAAGAAATAAAGTAGAAAAGAAGTAAGAAGTAAAGAAGTAAAAGAAATTAGGCAATTGAAAACTCGTGAGTCGAATGGCTCAAAGTGATAAACCTGTCTTTTAAAAATCCAAGTGGTATTGGCGATCCATCTGCACTCCGATATCAGTTTGATCCTTAATAGAATTTTCGTGAAACCAGCGGAGCGAATGGTTAGTGCTGTAATGGTTAGAAGAAACGAAGTCCTAGAAAGGATATACCTAACATTTTTTTTTTAAAGAATCCTCACCATTATTGGTTAAACTCGCTCCACTAACTTGTCGCATTGGGCAGAAAGTCCTTTGACGATAGAAATACAGGTGAGTCGCCAGCATCCGGATTTTTGTACAGGTTTACTACTGCGGGAAATAGAAGCTCAGCATCGGCATTCCGAATTGAGCAACAGGCCACTGAGCCATTATATCCCTAATAATGCATACTAATGCTGGCATTAATATTCAGTATTTCAGACGTGTTATTATTTTAGTTTATGAAGAATTCAGTCGGTCTGAATTGGTTCGTTTACGTCAGAAAGAAAAATAAATAAATAAAAAAATTATCATTTGAAAAATGATCGTTATTATATTTCCCAAAGGAATCGATGTGGGCATTTTATTCTTCAGTAATTGCGTGTTTTCCTTATTTAAGTCAATTTGACGTAATAGAGCAGGAAGAAACGAAAAAGAAAGAAAGAAACGAAAGTTCATTAATAATTTTCAAAGATAGACGGATAACAGGCAAGGATTTATTTACTGTCTTTCATTATTGTTATAATGAGATGTTATGACATTTCTACAAATGAGCTGAAACATTCCGTCGTTGTCTCTTGATGAACGGAGTAAACCTTGCCGATAAAGACGGAACGCCAGGCATTCATTTATATTTTTATGCCCAATCGACTTTGCGGAAGGATTTCGCCGCAATAGCCCAAGGAAGCAGCAAAACCAGAAATGATGAAAATTATTGTGTTATTTTAGTATTATTTCATGTATTTTAGTATTATTTTTTAATGTTGGCCATTTCTATGAAAAATTTCTAAGAGAGATAGCTAGTAAGATGAAAAAATTTTTTTACGTTATATATTCCATGACTTTGTCGTGCTGAAAACTAAGAAGATCAACAGAGATAAATTCTGAACAATTCTGTAGCCTGAAATGTCAAAGGGAAATTTAATACACATTTAATAAATTTAATAAATCTCATGGAGATGCTTATGATAAAGAACAGAGGTAGTCGAGCACTAGAGGTTCGATTCCTTGACCCAGACAGGATTTAAAAAACCTACCGTTAAAAAATTGGGGTGTGCCGATATAACCCATTTCTGCTTCTATCGCCAAGTGGCTCTCTGGTAAGAATTTCTGAGAACCAGACAATGTGAGCACTATTCACATATTTATGGTGCATACAAATTAGGATTTGATATGTTCAAGTACAGTTGGCCAACATTTCTTAAAGTTCAAAATCTTCGCAAGGATTAAAAATTAATTACAGCTTTCTTCAAAAGTCTGCAGTCGTCTCGATGCACCATTTAATTATAAATAATTTGGGTAAATTGGCTTTTCTTTATCACCTTTGCATCCATCGAAAGATCGCTTTCCTTCCTTTTTGAAGAAATTGAATCAGAAATTTTTTGCATGCTGCTGCAAATTCATTCATGCATCCATGTCCTTATTACTTATACATCTACCGCAAGTAATAATCACCAACGGTGTCTCTATTTTTAATATGGAATTTATTTATCTTCATTATTATAAGTCGATTATAAGATTTCTTAACCATTAGGATTTACCATTTGTTTGATTAATTTTTGTTGATGAAAGAACTAAGAAAGAAACGATGAAAGAATTGAAGGATTTAACTATTCCGTGCTAACTGAGTGTATTTTTTAATAACCAATCGAAAATAAAAAAATTCCTAATTTTATTAACAATCGATTAATGATTAAAATTTTCAAATTCAAAATTTTTGAAAATAATATTTTTGAAAAATAAATTACAGTTTTACAAATCGTTGATTATTTAAATTCCATTTAAATAATTTTACTGTTTCATTGAAATGTGCAATGGAAATCATTTAGATGTAATGAATGACTGGGAAATTGGTGGAACACAAAATAGATGGGTTTGCCCAAGCGATAGACATCTTCAGTTGCGAGCTCAGCAAGTTTTACGTCTACTTTAGATGCAGTTATTTTGAATAAACTTCAGATTTTTTAAAACATATTTGGTCTAATTATGATTTCATTTTTAGAACCTATTTGACGTTTTAGATTTATTTAAAAGTTAAGATTAAAAAGTGGCTGGAGCGTTAGAACGGCAATAGTACGATCGCCAACGAGTGTGAAACAACAGAATGGCAACATATCGGAAGCAGAACAGGAACACATACGGGCAGTTCTGGCTAAAGCCGAAGCAGGCAAAATTCGGGAACAATTTCGAATTGGGTTGGCTCCATTTTATTGTTTTTTTAGTTGTGATTTTATTATTTTTAATTCAAATTGGTTCAACTCCTGAAAATTTTAATATTTTATGGAATATCCTCACTGCAAAATATTGAGAAAAAGGCAAAATGGACAATAGGATAACATAAATTAGATTTAGATTTAGGCTACAATATTAAACCAAATACCGTACTATTAGGCCAGCAAAGCTATCTTGATCAGAGATGGTGGATGCTAACCACTTATTTTTTTGCTTATTACTTCATCCTATAGCCAGTGGTATATATAGTAATAAGCCCTTCCTGAAAAATTCATATCGAATTGGCTGTGTGTAAAATCGTCTATTTCTTCACTCACATGTTTCTTTTTCGCTTTATGATGCTTTAGTTGGCTTGGCCAATTTCTAGGCTGAGGTCGTTTAGCCAGAGAGCCATTTCGAGGACATATCAAAACTAATCTTTTAATCGATTCTTAGATGAAAAACAACGAAATAACATAAATTCGTGTTATTGGTGTTTTTCCTCTTAATCATTATTACTAGCCGATTGTTGTAAACAATAATTAATTTTTTCGAAATTCTTTAATTATTTTTCATTGAGAATAAAATTAATTACTTTTATAAATCTTTAATCTGAGATGTAAATTTGTGATTGTAATTTCAATTTCAAGCATTTCTTTTTTTACATTCCTAAGTATTTATAGATTTATTGAACGAATATGTAAAATATAAAAAATTTTGAGAACAAAAATTAAAAAATATAATTGATAAAATAGCTGATAACTGAGCTAACTGTGATAAGATAATCAAATTTTTTGCGATACGCTATCCATTCGATGTACACCATAAGCAATCATGAGAAAAAATTATCGAGAAATTGAGAAATGCCTTCGAAAGATTTTGCTGAAGGGGTGGAACTTGAAAATATAGAAAGATTGACGGCGGATTTAGTAAATATTAAAGGAAAAATGGTTGCGCCACTTACCACCGACTTTTGCGAGAAAGAATGCTTCATTGCCAATCCACCTTTTTCTGCTCCAAATTTTTATCAAATTTTTTCTCAAATAAGATGATTTGCTTACAAAGTGTGCAAACGATGAAATTTTGAAAATAACAATAACAATGCGATGAAAAAAATTCGCTACGATAATTTATAAAGCACACGATTTCTTAATGATTTAAGTAAACGATTTCGTTTTGGTTCCAAAAATTAAGAAGCAATTATTTTTTTAGGACTTTGAATTTTGAAACTCCAAAAATAAAAATTTATATGAAATATTTGCAGTAAAATGATTGATCGCTTGGAAAAAATGCGCTCTCGCGCCACAGGCAACGGCGTGACTCAGTGTTTTTTATGTTCCACTGATTTCGGCCTGCTTGCATCGAAGAGTTATGCTGCAATGTGCTTCCAGTGTAGAAAGGTTTCTTTCGATCTGCTTTCTGCTTCTTATGTCTATTGTTGTTGTTATTACAGGCCTTTCCACGTCTTTATGGCTGAAACTACTTGTTCGCCTTCGCCATAATTTCGTTTCAGTATATTCAGTATATTTGCGTTAATATATATTTTGTGATATTTTCGTTTAATTCCTACTTTTCCTTCCAACTTTTCGCTAATCTAATTATTTTTATATGAATATATGAATTAAATAAGTGGTAAATGTCGATGATAACGCTGAAGATAAGTTTATTGTAATTTTCAACCGTATTAGTCAGTAGTGTAAAGGAGAGAGGAAAGAGAGAACGATGTTCTCCTAGTTAATATATTCACAATACAAGCAAATCTCTCTAGCAGCGCGTAATATTCTGATTTTGTTGTTTTTGCCGACTACTGGATGAGGAGGCATTTAGATGAGTCATTTATGATGGTCCCCAGCATTCATTAACAGAGAAGATTGGATGATCACTGGTGATCATTTAAACTGATTTTTTTGGTAGAATTTTCCTATAATTTATGGAGACAGGATAACTCGATGGTAGTAACGCAAGTTATTGTCAGTTGTCAGGATTCGAGCACTTCTTTTAATAAAGCTATTAAACTATAAACGGCTAATCTTGGGCACTCACTACTCTTCTCTCCGAGACTCTCTGGCAAAAGGTCCTCATCGCGCTGCTAGAGCAATCCGTCCAATTATTTACTTATTTACCTAAAATTAATTATCTTCGATCAAATCTTATTATCTAGTTTTTTCTGCTTTTTTACTAGTATACCACATATCTCTTCCACTTGTCTCATTTAATTTAATTTGACAAATTTGTTAATTTATCGGATTGATAAGAAAAGATGCGAGCCATTTAAATTTTTATTTTAGATATACAAATTTAAAACTTTTCTGTCTTCGGTAGCAATATTTGTTTAAAATTTAGTATGTTTGCCAAAAAAACTGTGGAGTGGAAACGTATGACCATGTACGAAAAGGCAATGTCTTCCTTTGTAAAATCTGCAGCGAGTACCGCGAGGTAGTAAGTGATTATCTTAATGTTAATGAAAATAAACATTTTAACGGTACCTCAGGCTGCGCATGCTAATTGCTCCGTTTTTTTTGCTTGTAACGGTACTCAATTTCCGATATCTCTAATATTTCTCTTAAAATAATAGAATGATTGTTAGATTTGATTTGATTCACCAATAAAGAAAAAAAGGAGACTACACTGGTTGCCATAATTACTTTCATTGTTATTAGTAACTTTACTTTAAGGTTCAAGGGTCAAGGATCAAATTTATGATGCTTGACATTAGCCGCACGACCTAGTTTTAAGTAATAAGTGAAGCAATAGGTCATTTTGAGGGAAAAACCTGAATTTTTGCATGACTTACTTGACACTTCAAAAGCATGCTTTAATTTAATCCATCGGCCTTTTATTTTGTCTTTATTATTCTAATTCTGAAAAAATAATTAATTTGATGGATCAATGAACTTTTTCAATGATAATGTAGAAATATATAAGCAGAAATTCAAATTCAAATGAAATTAAATGAATTTAATTAAAAAATAAAAAAAAGCTCAAGTGAAATTTGTTAAAGATGTGGAAGAAGTCTGGTGCTTGGTTCTATAAAGAATTACCTGATTATGTGATACCAGAAAGCAGTGAAGTACGTTCGCCACCGGCAGCTCGGAATTGGCAACATCATACTAAATCATCGCCATCAAATAATTTTCCATATCAAAAATGTCGTCCATCAGCTAGTGCGAGCGATTCAACTAGGTTTTTTCTTTTCATTTTATTTTTTAAAATCATTCGTATGAATATGCATAAATAATTTTTAGGTATATATTGCCACGACCTCGAATCACTCCATCGTGGGTCAAAGAAAAAATTCAATCCTCGTTAAGCGTTTGTTCAGATGACGAAAATGCTTCGACATCGGAGGATGACGATTTTTCATTTAAAGGATCCACCGCAACTTGCAGCCGCAATTCACGCTCAAAAATTCAAGATTCAGCTGGCAAGCCAACATTGATTCAGAGGTTTTCAATTGGTCGATCACGAGCTATCGACACAGGTCTATTTCTTTAGAAATAAATCATTTAATTGTGGCATTTAATTATTTCTTTACTCTTTGTTCTCTTCATTTTCTAGACTCAAATAAAATTTTTAGTGGTATTATCACTCAATATAAGGAAGTGTTGAATATTGCAGATGAAAGTGGTGATTCTCGGCATACTACACCATCAGTATCACCACGGCATTCACCGTCATCCTGCGGCGATGATCTTTCTCTCAATCCTTCTTCAATTATAGCTTCGGATGCCAAATCGGTTGATTCCGGAGGTTGTCGGCATTTAACCCATCTTTAATTAATGTACATTAATGTACATTTATTTTTATCTACTCATTTATTTTTGATTACAAAAAAAAATCAAAATCGAACTTTTCTTTTTCAGTTGTTCCAAGTGATAACTCAGTGCCAACGAATACTCAGAATGCACCAAAGCAAATATCAGTCGATTCGTCAAATCTAGATCAAGAATCACCCATTAGGCAAAAAGCACCTTCTAACCATGATGTTGAGGAAATAGTACAGTATTTAGATTTTAAACCTATGGCTAAAAACTATAAGTTAAAAGATTCATCATCTACTCAAAAACCAGTTGAAGAACTGGAAATTGTTTTGCATACTTCTCCTTCAACATTACCATCATTATCGCCAAGATCTTCAATTTTTTCTAATTTCCGATTCAGAAATAATTCCATCGATATAAAAAAATCATTGGAAAATGTGAAAATTATTGATGGCCAATCCAGCAAACAGGTCAGCTTAGCGTATTTTATTTTTTTGGGAATTCTCGTCGGATAAATTGTTCATATGTATTTTAAAGGTGCAAGGAAAATTGTAACCATTCATTAATTATTAATTATTCGTACAATGAACGATACGATAATATTTAGTTATTTATAGGAAGAAGTTAATGCACAAGCAAGTGTTTCTTCTGAGGAGGAAACAAGTAAGGAAGCATTCTTATAGCTTTTATTCTGCAATATTTCGCTTAAGTCTTCGCTTATTTTTGCCTATCATATAAATGCTTTAGCTTGGCTTTATTGCTGTTTTTGGCCAATATTATTTTTGCGTCTTTGAAAAATTGGATAAATGTGATTGAATAGGCACTGAAAGAAAATTAAATGATATTTTCTGAGGTTTTACTTGTCTTAAAAAATTCTAAAACACGTTGTAATGCCAGAAAATCAAGTCTCACGAAAATCAGAAACCGATGAAGAAAATTTAAGTTTTTGTGAGGAAAAGTTGAGCTATCATGCTAAAGCCTTCTTTCACATTATTATCAGCATTTTAAATATTGAATATTGTCTATTTCAGTAAATTTCAGTAAATTTATAATAAATTTAAAATTTTTTACGAGAAAGACTACTCTTAATAACTTTTTCTAAAGAAGCGGAACGATAATTTTTCGGTCGTTTCCTTACAGTGCATCCTGGCACCAATTAGATTCCACTTAACTTTCATTGAAGCTTAAGGATTAAATCCAAGATGTTTAAATTTAGTCAGCAACTATTGAGATTTCACTTCTGGCGAATATTATTTTTTACGTCTGTGAAAAATTGGATGAATGTGAATGATGAATATGCTTGCAAGATTGGTACTCATCATTTACATGACTAGCGCTAGCGAAAGATGGCATATTGCCTTTCTTCTTCCTTTACTTTTTGAGTTCCATTTCCTTTTCTCTTATTTCTCATTCTTTCATCTGCCTCATCCTATCGACTTATTTTTTTCACCAATAATTTATTTATTCCCTGTTTTCTTGTCTCATAATCCAGCTTCATCCATAGTCGCTAGGCAATAAGTACAATAAGTAATAAGTAAGGTTCAATGCTGCCAAGTTAGCAGGAAAATGATCATAATCTTAATTCATTGATCTATGCGCTTCGCCAATTGTATTTCATCGAATTTATTCGAATATTTTGACGAAATGCTGTTAAAAATTTGTGGGCTAGAGGCGTTAAATTTGGACAGAACACGTCTTTGCCTCTGATATCTTTTGTTTAGATAGTTTCAAGTGGTTTCTTTTTTTTCTTCTAGCAGCATGTACCATTTCTCGTTTGGCTGATTCCTGCTAAAGACTTCTTCGAGGCTGCCGTTTAGGGATAGGATTACGGATGGATTCGCAACAGCCACACCTGATTTGTGACCCCAAGTGGTTTTAAGTTTTTACAGTAACTTTTCGAGGCATTTGTTATTTAATTTTAAATGCGTTGCCGCTTGAATACACGCTTACTTTTACGTTTTTATTCAGTAACTTTTTTTCGTCAGTTTTGACATTCTTACAAATGCATGTATGTGGTGTTTAAGAGAGTATTTTATCGGATCAAAATCCACTTGCACAAACAATTTCAACCAGTCGAAATGCGAGTGAAATAACTTCGTATTCTTGTCATTCACTGAAATCAGCTAGTACTGCGCGAAAATCTGATGCTTCCGTAATTCGCCGTACCACCTCAGGCACTGAAATCAACAGAACAACCGGTCCTCTATAATTTATAATAGCCATCTTTTACATTTATGTAAAATCTGCCATTCGAAATAAAAGAAATTACAGCATTTTTATATTGAGTTTTTTAGTGGTAAATTTCGGTAAATAAGCCAAAAAGTGGGAGTATTGCCTTTTCTAATGCAGTATTGATAAAAATTTTTGTATTTGCTATTCATTTGTGGCCATGATATCTATAATCAGATTATCATGGCTATATGTAGCGAAATATAATGAAAAGGTGGATGATGTTCATCCAATAGTTATTCTTTCTTTTCTTTAGAAAAGCAATATTATCAATTAGAAATATTTTAAAAAGTTTCGAAATATTTGCCAAAGGAGTCACTTGGCGATAAAAATATGGATGGATCGCCAGCTCTATACGAGTTTTTAAATCCGGTTAAAGACGAAGAATCGAATGTTTGAATGTCCGGCCTAAGCTATTGTGCGCCACCCTTGGCCACCTTTGCTAAGAAAGTCATTTCGGTAAAATTGCACTGTAATCATGTAAATTAATTTGAATTTACTTAAAGATATGTTGGGATCAATTGAATTCGATTTATTGTATTGCCGTGAGCGAAGACAACTCAAAATTAGACTTATTAGGGCAAAGGTTATTTTTTTCTTTAAACCGTTCTTAGGCTGGATGTTTACTAAAAGTTGGGGAAAAACTAAGTCCGCTCCTTAAAAATTGAAAAAAAAGCCACCAAACTGACCACAAGTTAAAAAAATATCTGCAGAACTTGATCTCAATGGACAAAAATGGTTTCTCGGATCCATACGTCAAATTACACCTTATTCCTGGTGCAGCCAAGGTTCATTTTCTTTTTCTTTGCACAATCAAATAGCCTAAAGTAAAATTTATATTTTTAGCGTTATCGATGCTATTAACTTGTCTTTTTTTAATTTTACAAATGCTACTACATATTGTATGAAGAATGATAGAAAAAGATGATAAAGCCTATTTCTAAATATTCTTTTTTTAGGCAACCAAGTTAACTAGTAAAACAATCGAAAAAACACTGAATCCAGAATGGAATGAGGATTTCACTTATCATGGTATTAGTGAAGATGATAAATTGAAAAAATCTCTCCGAATTACTGTGCTAGATCGTGATCGTATTGGAGCTGATTTCCTTGGTGAAACTCGGGTACCATTAAAGAAATTGCCCATTGATCAGATCAAGCATTTCAGTTTGTGTTTGGAACGAGCTATGCCTGTATGTCTTTTGTTAATTTTTTCATACGTTTTTATAAAAAAAACTTCCGTCATTAAAATTGTGCGACTTAGATTCTGGAAGAACAATAAAAAAATCATTAAATTTTCTGTTAAATACTAATTTTTGCTAATTTCTAACATATGACATCTATTAATAATGTCATAAAGAAAATATTACAAGGAGTCAAGTGATAATCTGCGTAAACGACCTGAACTGAGTTGTTTCAAGAAAACATGATGACACACAAATTTTAAAGGTTGATAAAAATGAAAGTACCACCGAACGAGGCAAAATATTGCTTGGATTAGTTTATAATGTTCAACAAGGATCATTATTTGTTGAAATTAAAAGGTGTACAGAATTGGTAGGAATGGATCCGACGGGTTTTTCAGACCCATATGTAAAATTGTATGTTTTTGCTCAAAATTTTCATAGGTTTAGCTTTATTATTTCTGGTGAGTAAATCCAAATCATCATCTTACATTCGTTCGATTTCAATTTATTGTTGCAACAACTTAATTTGAATCAAAAAGAGATCGAAATGGCCTAATAAAAAATTTTTCACCACCCTGGAGTAGAACTGATTTCATCGATTTCATAGGGAAATACGTGGTTTAAATTGCCAATTTTCAGGACATTAACTCCACTTACGAGTAAATCGCACCGACAAAAGACGTCGATAAAAAAAAGGACCTTAAATCCTGAATTTAATGAGGTAGATAATTATTTTTTTAAATGCTATAAGTGGATTTGTATAACTGTCAATGTAATGCATTATTATATTTCATTTTAATCTAGACTCTTGCTTTCGTGGTACCATTCAAAGATTTGCCGACGAAAACGCTTCAAGTCGGAGTATACGATCACGATGTTGGCAAATCTGATGATTATATAGGTATCTAAATCTTATATAATTCAATAAACGTCCATTCCTAATTCATTTTCACTTATCTTAAACAATTCCGCTTTTTATCGAGTCGAAATCAAATCTAATAAGGCTTAATTAAAACGTCGACTTTAAATTTGCATCAAAGAATGTAATATAGAATGTAATACTGCTAGTTGTGATTGGCAGTACTGGGTGTTTTGTTCATAACAGGAGTGCCTTAAACTATCGTTTCCACATTAATCATCTCGAATGTCATCTTTCGTAAGATGGAAGTAAACCTCAAAAATCCGACTGGTTCTGGAGCCCTTCTATTGCCCCTCTATCCCCAAATGATTTCCTAGGAAAAATTTGTAAAAATTTTCTAGACAATAGAGTGCATAGAATCAAAAATGTTAGCTGCTAGTCGCCTTCTTATTCACATTTTAGGAGGAATATTGTTATCAGCTTCAGCAAAAGGTGACCGACAAAAGCAATGGATATATTGTATGCAAAATCCAGGAAGTCCATGTGAATACTGGCATGAACTCGAACTTGAGCAATGAATTATCGATGCTTAAGCCTATATTTGGTTGAGATCGTGCTGCTATTTTAATGATATTTTCTATATTTGTACATATAGAATGATCAAATTCTCCTATATTACACAAATATTTCACTGCGAATTTTGAGAAAGAATTTTTCATTTACTACTTTTTAAAATGGAGAAAAGTGGTAATGGTATTTTAAATAATGAGCAAAAATATAATTATAATTGCTCATACAAGTGGAGATATTTAAATTTACAGGTTTCGTGAATCTTCCAAACTTTCGGGTCATTTTTTTGTTGTGAAGCATGACAAAATTTTTATTTTAAAAATAATAAATATCATTTTTTGAATATTTCTATTTGATAAACTGCAATATCGAAATTGAAACTATTGAAAATGTCAACTTCAACAATCATAAAAAACTGATCAGTGGCAGCAAAATCAATCCAATTTAAAAAAAAAAAAACATTAACCCTATAAAAAGACTGATAGCTGAAAGAGACTGATGGAGGGCCATTTGTGCCATTTAATGAAACTTTGCAAAAATCTTCATCCTAGCATTAAAATCATATATCAGTTTTAGTCTCAAAATTTCCAAGTCAGGTTTCCATTCAAATTTGTGTTTTGCTCACCAATAACTGTGAAAATTATTTTATATAAAAAATTCTGATTAATGATGGGAAAAAATAAAAAATAAACTTCGAAAAAAATTATAAGCCACAAAAACTATACATTCAACATTTAGTGATATCGTTTTCCTCAATGGAAATGAGTATTGTCTATTGCCGATTCTTCCATTCGAATTTCAATAATTTGAAGAAAAGCATTTGAAAAAGCATTCTTTGCACGTTTTAAAAATTAAACTTTTCCACTTCCAAAAAGCCAATTATTAGGCATTTATATATCAAAGCTTAAGCTCATTTTAATTTATGGTTAAAAATAATAGGTGAGCATATCATTTCAATAAAAAAATATAAAATCTGAAGGAAATCCAAAAGATAAAATAATTCTAATCCAGCGAAACCGTGCTAACTATGTTTCTGATTGTTCTTGCGAATGTTCACTCTTACAATCGAACATAACTGTTGGAATGGTAATGTCGAAAAGTGATCCAGATTCACGCTGAAGTTTAAATTTGCCCCTGCAAATGATTTAATATGACGAAAAATAAAAAAAAGAGATTACCATCCTCGATTGCAGAAATTCGTACCATAAATGCGCTCCTTTGAACTGAGGAAGATCAATCGTACTGCTAAATTGAAAAGCCGGTGACAGTGGAGAGAGACAAGGGTGCTGAAACGACTGAAATGCCAAATTAAACAAATAATTTTCACGATAGTAACATGCAGATCAATCTCTTACATGGAAAAACCAATTAACTAGGGAACAAAAGCTAGAACTTTAATGAGCTTGCTATCAATAACAATTTGGAAACGGTAAATCTGAAGAAAAAAAATTTATTTTCGTAGTTGTCACAGTTCTTTCAGATTCTCATGGGATTTAATAATTAGGATTTGGGATTAAATAAGGAGATTAGATTATATGAGAATAGAGAATAACTTAATAAATAAATATCGAAAAACAAATTGATAATGCGAAATTGCTGCATCAAGGAAGGAAAGCACATCCAGGTCGACCCTATTAAGCTGTTATTAAGAAATAAATCTCGATGCGTGCTGAACATTCATTTTTACTTTTACTCTTTTTCTTTTTTTTTTTAAGGAAGAATCTTTTTTTCTGAAATATAATTAAAAACCGTACAAGACAATAAAAGCAAAACTAACAGTTCCTAAAATGCCATTCTCATTTATTTGTTGCATATTATTTAGACAAAACAGTTTCATCGAACGTTCACGTATTGTTAAGGTCGTGCTTTCCAAATTCTCCAAACGAACCGTATAGCGCCACTTCAAAACAATATTTTATGCATATTAACATAATAAAAATGCTAATTCCAGCCATGAAAATCACAAAATCACAAAATTTTAATGTTTTTTAAAAAATTAAAATGAAATCTATTTTAAGATTTTGGAATATAAATGTAAAATAAATGTAAAACTTTTAAAAAAAAGATGGAAAGTAATAGAACGATGGAAATAAGCTAACACAGTATTTCTGTTGGCCATTAACTCTATTAATACCCAAATAAAACGTTATAACTGTTACCTTAAAAATTATTTCATTTATTTTTCATTATCGTTCGGTTATTAAGCAATTAACAAATAATTAAAATAGTCAATTCCTGATGAAAATAGCAAATGGAGAAACAAAACAAAACTAAAATTTTTAATTATTATGGCTGAAATTCTTTAAATAATATAATTTCATGAAACCAACTCGAATTCCTCCAGTTATTTCTTTGTATACTTCCTGAGGTACCAACCAAGATCCTCCTTTATTCACCAAGAAATCCGGCATAAATTCTTCACGAATTACAAATTTGAATTCTGCTACATAATTAAGAAAATGATAAGGGAGTTTTCATCATGCAAATTATAAAATTTCTTATTCTCGAGATCTTTTTCGCTAGCTCGGATCAAAGAAATAGAAATTTTGCAATGATGTGGTATTTGGTGATAATAGGTCCTGCATCACCAGAATTTTAGAAAGATAATTTTGAAAGGCTCTTGTCAGCAGTAGAATCCCAGTGGAATTTTATAAATATATCAGTAAATGATTAAAAAAATTTCATTAAATGAATTGTAAATTGAGTAATTTGAAATTTTTTTGAATATTCTTTTTTTTCTTTTTATAAAAATTTATTCTTTTTTTATTCTTTTTATAAAAATTATATCAAAAGTCATCAAAAGCTAAAATAAGCTAACAAACCATCGGAATTCTCTCCAACCATTTCAAAAATTCTTTCAAACATATCATGCTGGATGGGTTTTGATTGGGTTGGGCGATATGGTATAATTTCGTCATGTGCAACGCAATCCATTCCATTAATTGAATTCAACGGTCGTTCACCACGCATATTACGCTCACCAAGATAGCATGTTATATCAACAGGAAATCGCTGTAAATAATCAAATCATCCTCTCTTCTAAACCAAATAACTGCGATAACTGTAATAATATGCTAAACTCGTACGTCAACAATATCCAACTTTTCAATATTAAGCAAAAGTTATGGATCTCAACCATTGACAAAAAAAAGGAAAAAAATCTTTGCAGTCGTTTAGAAAATATTTTTGCTTATACAAAGAAAAGAAAACGGTGTGGATGGCTCAGTGCACTACCCTCTATCCTCTACTCACTACCCTCATTTCGGAGCACAAATGTTGAGGTTATATTACTCTGGACAGACATAAAACTGTCTTTCGAGTGGAACTAGCGATCCAATTAAAATTCAAGTGGTTCTTTTCCAAAATTTTTTGGTCCGACAAGCCAGTAGAGCCTAACCAGAAATGGTGAACGCTTTTAGAAAAACTAGAATTTATACCATGTGCTTCCAATCATCTTGGTGAATCAATACTTGATAATAATGGGATGAAATATTCCTTGGAACTGCCTCACCTCTGCAAGAAATAAAATTATAACCAGTATTTTAATTAAAAATTAAAATCTAAAATATGAGGTTCTGGATGCATCTTTATCTTACATTGGCTATATCAATCTTAATAAATAAAATTCTCAGTAAATATTTTTTAAATCATGTATTTAAACAATTAAGAATCATTTTGCAGTAAATTTCACAAAATAATACATAAAATACATAAATAAAAAAATTCATACGCTCTGTGAGTAGTATGGGTCCTCGATCTCAAGTTCCCAACTTCCACAGGCCTGGTCCGCGCTCTTCTAAATAGAAATCTCTGGTGATCCTAAGATTTATTGGAGCCACTTTTCCATGGATCACACTTCCGAGTATCACCGCCTGGATCAGGGTGACTTTGGCTTCTGTTTCTCACATCTTCCCTTCTTTCATCCCTATTTTCTACCTTCGCATATCTCTTCTTGCTAATGTTTTTACCACTCAGTACTGCTATTTTCTGGCTCATGGCTATTACCATGATCTGCTTGATTGGTGAGTACCAGTCTATTTCAAGTCAACAGAAGCTTGATCACGATCTTCTGGAGAATCTCCGATTCAATTGGAGATGCGTAGTCGTATGGAAATAAAGAGAAGGAAAATAATTAAGACTGATGGAACTACTAGAAAGGCATATATGACCAGCTATAAGTACATCCACAGTCGTACATGAAAAAGCAAAAACCAAAAAGAAGAAAGCAACATCCAAATACCATCAAAGAATAAGACAAACCTTGAACAGCCAGCTCAGGGAAAAACAGAATCCACGCCAAAAACATGCATGTTCGCCAGTCATATATCAAGATATGTGCAGCTGGCATAGTCAAAAGAAGAATTTGAAGAATGCCGAAGTGAAAGCGAGGAAACGCAATGCATGAAAATTTCCACCTCAAGTTTAATAATAAAAGACTGCACATAAATCAGAGAGAAAGCGATTGAAGCTTGGTGAGTGTCAAAGCCATTGTCTTGGATGAAACTCGAAGCATGTAAGAATACATCAGTAATATGGCACCAAAGGATAAGCTGATAAAAAAACTGAAGGATCAACATATAATGGATAAAAGTATCAGGGCAAAGCAAAATCTTCCATATACCATCGTCGGAAAACTGACATTGAGAAATCCTATCAATAGCTGGAAAAGACTGGACTAAAAGATAGCATTGAAGCACACAAGAATGGGTGCTAAGTACTATATATCCATCGAAAAAGGAATTTACCACATTAGACAGGATTCATTATGTAAAAAAGCTTCAGAAATCGAATCATTCATCAGAAATTCATCGAATACATAGCGAAAAAATTTAAATTTAAGATGGAGATAAAAAGCAAAAATAACATATATTGAGAGGCATAAATAAATTACTGTAGGAATATCTGTTTATGGAGCATTCAGTACATGGCTCAGATGCCCTCAAGACCAGATGAAAGATAGAAAATCAAAGTATAAAGTTGAATAAAGTCAAACCAAGATAGTATGGGACTTTTCCATCCAGACAAAAGTGACCATAAGTGAAGGCCAATCAACCACTTATCAAATGAAATAAGTGGTGACAAAAGAAGAGTAGAGCCCTGCAACTCTCAAACTGGAAAAGTGGTTCTTATAAATGCTAGAACTACCAGAGACTTTTTATCCAGAAAAGCGCGCTGTATTGGGAACTAAAATATTGCGTAGAGCCTTTAAACAGCCAGACTGGGACTCGAAGTTGAGGAAAACCCAGAATACTCACAAGAGGTTATATCGGAATTCTAAAACGATCCATCACCAGTAATCACTGCACCTATAATGAAAATTATCAAACTAAAAGCAAAAAATGTCTAATATAAAAAGTTATATGACTTAATAACCTAATAGATTTCGAAACTTCATGCACATGACATTGAAAAGAACAAAGAATTATTCCACGATAGGCGAAGACTTTATGAAGAAACAACTGAAAAATTTTAAAAATAACTAGAAGTTTACAAAAAAATATAATTTAAAAATCAATTTCCTTTTTCCCAAGCATTGAAGCATTGATTTTTCTGCTTTTTGTTTAAAAGCCAGTTAATACAAAGCAAATTGGAATAAAACAGAGAAAGCCTAGAAATCTTATAAAATCAAAAAAAGCATCGCAAAACCTGTCCCAAAGGATAACCACCATCAGCTTCTCTTTTATATGGTTTTAGAATACCAATTTCTTTTGCCGATATGCCATTTCGTTTCTGAGGAAACCTTGAAAATCATTTGAAGAACTCCTCATTTTGCTGTATTTCATTTGTTTCATCTTTTCCAATTTTAACAAAGAAGAAATGAATCACCTCCAGTGATGGATAACGGATGAATGAATGGATCTTAGCACACCAAGATTCTTTGTTCCAAGCACAACATTCATTGAATATTCTTCGCCAATTACAAAAGAAGATCCAAGCACGGATCGAATTCGCCGTTCTTACGATTCAATTTCTCAATATATCTAAAATTATTCACCACTGATTCGACAGTAGGTCAAAAAATTTCACGTTTTAATGTAATTACTTGGACTTTTTTAGCCTCCAAAATTTTCTTTAAAAATATGCTATATTTAAAAATATGCTAATGGAAAATTCGCCTTTTTATCAATAAGCGCGTGTATGGCTTAGCTTGTTATACTTTTGTTCATTGGGCTAAAATCTTTTCCAAACACTTATTATCGGAAGAAACTACGAATCAAACTCATACCTGACAAGACTTCATCAAGTGCAACAAAAGGAAAAAGTAGTGCCTCAAAAAAAATTTCCATTGAAAACTAAATTTTATGGCCAAATTTTTTACGAATAATAAAAAAATTGTTAAAATTGGATGAGTTCCTTGATGAAAAATCTAAATTTAAATCTAAATTTTACTAAAAATTGAATCCCACATAGAACGTTTGCAAAACAAAAATGAAAATAAAAAATTGCAAATCATTTCAAGCTATATGGAATTGCCAGAATTTTCTGCAATATTTAACAATTTTTTTTATTAATATAATATTTGTTTCTATAATAAAAGCTTCCGCTTTGATGATCTATGTAAGAGAATAGAGAAATAGATTCTGCTTGAACGAGAATGAGAGCCGCACAAGATAAAATCAAATTTTTTATTACCATAATAATTAAAAGTAATTTAAAGCACAATCTATAATGAATCTGGAGAATTCCTTTTAATTCCCGTATGAATCGAGCAAATACCACAAGAAAGATTTTCATATCGAACAATCTCATAACCAACACCCATTAACATTTTTGCAAATTCGATCTTAACGAATAAAACTTAAAGATTAAAAAAAATTTTATAGAACTGACATCATCATCAACTTTCACATTTTTCGTACTTTTTAATTTTTTACAAACAAAAAATAAATAAATAAAGAATAGAGAACTTTTTCAATAACTGATTAAACTTACTTGATCTGGAAATTTTCGCACACTTTCTACCAAATAACGATAACTATTATATTCACCTGCGATTATTTCACCCATAACAGGAATAATTTGAAAACTGTAAAAATCATAAAATGGCTTTAACAATGGATCGACACGACTAAATTCAAGACAGGCAAATTTCCCTCCAGCTTTTAAAACTCGAATTGATTCAGCCAAAACCTAAAGAATAATAATTAATTAAATTAATTAAAAATAAAAAAATAAAAATAATTAATTAAAAAATAATTGCAAATTGAAAACAAAATAGAAATAACTTATGATTATGATTGTTCTTCCGAAAAATTTAAATAAAAAAAACTAGAAAAAACCTTTTCAATATGAGTGCAGTTACGAATTCCAAAGGCAATTGTATAGACATCAAAAGAATTATCATCAAAAGGAAGTAATTCAGCATCGCAACAAACCCATACAAGTCGTGCTGAGAGAAATATAATAGAAAGATAAATATAGTATAGAATCCAATAAAATCTAAACCAAACTGGGAATGGTGTTAAAAGGAGAAAAAAAATTTCTAAAGAAATTCGAACCAATTCTCGAGAAAGGCCGAGAGAAAGACTTTAACTTTAACAAATATTTTATCAGGCGAGATACTACCGGAAATTTAATTCTTTTGGTTTAGAAAAACAAATTTGATCCTAATTTAAATTAATGAAGAATGAAGAATACGAAGAAATGGCTATGCTATCACATAAAGAATTGAATTTTCAATAAACTTTTATCGATAGATCGATTAGAGACGGCCCGTTTTTGGCCAACACCCATCATGTTTTCATTAATGTCGCAAACCGTTACGGAACCTTTGCCCAATCTACAATAACAAAGAACGTTAAAGGGATGTAAAACAAAATATTTAAAAAATTTATTATGAATGTAACTATTCTGATTCAAATTTAGAATATGAGGATTTCATTCAAATTTATTTATGGTATTTTTAACATTTTATATATTATATATATTTTATTTTTATATATTTTATGTATTATCAACAAGTCTCATGCGAATTTCCATGGAAATTTTTGCTTTTATATTTTATTTATATATATATTTATATAATGGATAAAAATAAAAAAACTTCGAAAATCAAAAAAGAACGAAAAAAATTATTTTTCAGTTTTCAAATTCCCAATTCTTTTAAAAGAAACCCTTGTTGAATTTTTTTTATAGCCCGAAATGCAATATCGCCAGTGCCTCCTGCCATATCTAACATTGTTGTATTCGATGTCAATTCAAGTTGCTCAACAAAATAATCCTAAATTAAAATTGATTTTTTAAAATTGTTTTTCATAATTCGTTGAGTTAAAATTACATTTTTTAATTAAAATAATTAAAAATACTTATCAATATTTATTAATTACCCAAGTTTGAGATTTCTGGTCGAAAAAATGTGTTGAGATTTCTATGAATGGTTGTGCCGAAAAAGCGCTCATTATCAATAAATTAATAAAACGATATTTTCAATTTACCATTATTATTATATAATTTATTTATTATTTGGCAAATAAATCGCTATTTGCTAAATCCTAAGTGATAGGTGGCGTCAAAAGCCAGGTAGGCCAATCAAGACTTGCACTGATATAGCCAGGAAAGATTTTGAAAATATAAATGGACCAGCGATATATGGACTTAGATGATGGAAAAAGGAATGGCTTTTATTATTATCAGCGATGGCGTCGGACAGAACAGCTTAAAGACGTTTTGTAGCCAGCGGAGCTAGCCTAACCAGTCATAATGGGAGCTAATAGAAGATTTATCAGAAGAATGATTTGAAACCAAACTTTTTTAAAGGGAATTTTTCAAATATAATCACAAAAATATAGTAAATATATTTTTTTCCGCAAAAGCTGAAAACATTAAAATTTAATATTTGAATGAGTAGATGGTTGGTTTAATGATATAAGATGAAAAGAAGATTCATTTCATTTCATTTCAGATATGAAGACTCATCGGATGACTTCGAGTTCAAGTAGGAATGTACTGTGCATTCTTAAAAATATTACTGCTAACATATTTTATCCTAGCAGCCAGTTGAGCCAAAAATGATGTAAAATTGGCGAAAAAAAACAAAAGATATGGTAAAAAAGAAGAAAATATAACAAATAATAATGAATAGGACACAACAAATAAATAAGTTATTGTTATCATGGTAAAACCAAAAAAACCTTCCATAAACGATGCATCCCCATCGACATTGCATCGTTCATCAGATCATATTTGACTGCAACTCGAGCAAACAAATCGTGAACTGAAAACAATGACTAAAAAAATAATAAAATAACCAATTTATAGGAATGAAATATTTTGACCAATGCCCATTAGATAAACTCTCTCCGACTCTACTACTTCTTCTTCTGATAGCATCTCTGCTATAGCCAGTTTCTCTAGGACGAGATCTTCACGTGAGAGGATCTTTCGGCCCGTTCAAAGTAAAATTTCGAAAATTTAAAAGAAAATCAGAAAAGCAATTATGGATGGGTGGGTCAAAGGTGCTCTCCAAAACTCATTCACGTTTCACCGTTACTGAAAGGTCTACGCGTGTCAAACCCATCTTATATGACTTAACGGAATTTTTGGTACGAAAGAATGAAGAAAGTCTGCTTTTGTGAATAAGAGTAACATAAGCAATAAATATAAGCAATAAATATTGATCTAACAAACTGAATTACCGATTTAAGCCAATTTATTACAGCTATACCCACGTAACGATACAAGTCATTTAATATAATTTAAAGCAACCCACCTCACCTTTTTTACTTTTCTCCTCAACTTCGACCTCCTGGAAGCCAAAGTGAGTTGTATTAAATCGTCTGCTGAGATATTTCGCGATAATGCAACGATTCGAAACCAAACTAATTAACTTTCGATTCATCCTTATCAATTTCCTCGACTTATCACTGCTGCTTATATTGAAAATAATCTTAGTGCCACTACTGCCACTATTCACAACGAAATGTTCGTTATTATTATTTATCCTTGTTTACTATCGTTCGCTTTATTTTTATTGTGGAATAAGCGAAAAATAGTAAAAATGGAAAATATGCTTAACAAATATTTGACCGTCTACAAATCGTACAATACTGAAGCTCCTCACAGGAAAAAAGAGCCATCCTCACAGTGGAGAAATAACATTATCACCAATACGGTATCATAAATCCATTTACCAAATACCCAATCCTTGGTACTTAACTTAAATGATTTGAATTTTGAAGTCGTATTTTAAAAATTTTTACAAGTCAGTTTCGGCTTCGCCAATATTTTTATTCTCGATTGTTTCTCATTGATTTTTCTCGTTTCAGGCAATATAATCTGAATCTGGCTGCCTAGTTGGGTTTTGTAGTTCCATTCTTTTCCAGTCTTTCTTTAAAAGTATTTTCCTTAATTAAACGATAGCAAATATTTAATGATACGAATAGTCGAGCGATTGCCATTAAACGTCACCATCGATTCGATTGCAGTAAAAATGGCATAAAAAAGTGGTGGCGACACCTTGCGGCAGAAACTGTGTTGTCCGCCAGCGGGGCGAAGTATTCCCAGGTGACCCGCGGCAGAAATTGTGTTGATTGCCAGCGGGGCGAAGTATTTCCAGGTGACCCGCGGCAGAAACTGCATTAACAGTTAGCTAGCCGAAGCAGAAATTATAATAAATCGTAGTGAAGAAAGAATTTTGTTCATTTTTATAAAAGTTGCAAAAATGTTTTTTAACGGTTTGAGTTTAATGAGAATTGTGCTAATTGCATGATTTATATGGTAATTTGATTTATATGGGACTTTGGTGCTTTTCGTTTAATTGTATGGTTCAGCAATAGGCTATCATTGTTGTATTATATTATATAACTTGCTTCGCATCCGTAATTTTATATTCTTCTATATTCTTTTAATCCTCTCTCATGGCTAACTGCTTAGTTGTCGATGAGAGTCCTGGTATATGCGGAGCCCTGCTACCCACACAGGTAGGAAAAGCAGCAGATTTGTTAATTAGATTAACTGCTAGTAATTTCAGGACAGTTTTGATAATTGCTACTTATATGATGTGAGAAGAATGCACGGGTCGATGACAGTTGACTATGATCAAAGCACAGCTGGGAATTGTCAACATGAATCTCCTTTATGGTCCTTTTTTTAATTCTTAAAATTTGGAATAAAAATCACGTTATACAGCATTGCGAATTTTAGCTGCTATGACCTATTGTCTTAAAAAAAAGTTGCTAAAAACATTGATTATCAAAAAATTATTTTTATTTGAAGCAACTAAGCAGGGCGACAAGCGCCACGTGCTTGTATTAATAGCAGTAAATGAGAATTGGTGAGTGATACAAAAGGACCAAAAGCTAACAACTTAATGAAACAATAATGGAGGATTGTGAATAACTCAAGAAGAACTGAATGCACATATTCGCATGCAGATTGATCAAGATTTTAAACTACCTTCGTAATGTGAACCTTTTAAGTAATATCATGGACGATATTATTTAATCTTTTTTAAAAATTTTTAAAGATGGTGTGCAAACGTCAATCGGCAGCTTATTCCAGTAATTAGTGGTGCGAATAAAAAAAATCATGCACTCTTAATTTAATTTGCATTTGAGTTTCAATAGTTTTAGCCCATTAGATCTTTTTGGCTTGAAATTTAATCTAAAATTACAATATTTTAAACAGTTTAATTTGATGTAACCATTTAGAATTTTTATATATACAGATTGAGTCTTAATTTAGATTAAGGCTTAATTCGAATTGAGAGTGAGTTTAGGCTGTATAGTTTATAACTGAGATTGCTATTAGGTGAGAAGCGAGCGACATATAAGATATTTTTGGAGTCCTTCAATTAATTCACTTGATTTGCGGTATCTGTGGGAGTAACAGATTATATTATACACAAGAATAGGCCTAATAAACAATTTGTATATTTTCATCGGAAAGCTTTGATTTCTGTTTTTAAATGGAAAATAAAATTCTGCGATGAAGGTCGAAATCAAGATTTCCATACGTGACTATGCCAAGATCTGAGATATTCTAGACCCGTCTAATTATGTTTTACCATTATAGAGAAATTAAGAGATCGGGTTCTTTTTTTTATATGTACAGTAATACAGTACACTTTTAAATGGAAAGGGTAATTTGTCTGTCATGTAACCAGTTGGAAATTCTACTAAAATTATTGTAACAGAGATAGATTATCCGGTAGAAAATGGTAGAATTTAGTACAACTTGATCTTATTGGTGTCAATATATAATAAGAAAACTAATGGTACTACATAACTACCTGTACGACGTCTGATTAATTGGAGCCAAGTTTCCAGGTATTTAGACCATTGTTCTGTCACTACATGTTACTACAAAACTTTCAATGTTTAATTCATGATTATTAATAGAGTCATCCAACCACGTTCGACTGAAAATACTGTTAGGATTATCATTTAATGGGAGTTGTAGATCATATCAAGTACATCAAGTCTATACTTTAAACTTTTGGCATTAGATATAGAAAGACAAATAATTTCCTGTGTTAGTACCGTCCGAATATCTTAAACTTCTCTGTTCTGTCTGAACAGAAAAGGAAGAAGACGAAAGGTCATTTCGTCATTCCAAACCATTTGCGTGGTCGTCTTAATCTCAATATTTGAAGATTTCTGACCACATATTTCTTCAGATTAAGGATGGTTGCGACACTCTCTTCGCAGTTGCTTATCAAATATTAGTTCTCTTTTGATCAAATCTTTTCGCTGAAAATTTCCATATGACACGAGCGTTAATTGTTATTATTTTCGCTAATATTAAAAAGGCAATAATTTAGGCATCGTTCGGTTGAGTCTCAGCAGAAAACTACAGTACCTTTCGGTAAAGTGTTACGCAAGCCAGTTGAAATGGTGCGGGAGGAACATTGTTCAACACATAATAATAATTTATGCACTCGTTCCGATGGGTTTAATTTTCTTATATTCTCTACTGCTAAGCTTTTCTTTGTTGATTTTATGATGAATTTTTTCTTTTTTATGGAAAAAGATTTGCATGTTTTTGTTTAATATTTTGGCCGGAAATTTTGATTTGATTATTTTTAGTTCTCGTGGTAATATTTATTTTTTGTTTCATTTTTTATTAATTAAACAATTAATTTCGTAAATTAAAGTGGTCCATTTTTTAGAGTAAGTTTTGGAGTAATTTTGAAAATATTGGAAGTTTTCTTCAAAAAATTTGGAACATTTTAGTTTTCAACTTCGGGTCAAGCAATCTTCATTGCCAAATCATCGCATATATACAACGGCGATCTTAACTGAACCTTACGATGGACGATATTATAATCGCATTAAACGGTGTTTTACTCACCTTGTGAAGGTATTTTCATATCATTATTGTTCGAGAAGTTGGATAATTTTTAAAGAAAGAATTAGTAAGAATTATTTTTGTTTAGTTTATTAGATTTTCAAATAAAAATCATATTTTCAAAATTAAAGGTCGAAAGAGGATGTCTTTTACGTTCAATGTCGTTACTTGATGATGGCGAAATACTTCGGGAATTGAAAAAATATTGCATGAAAGAACCATTATTGAAAGAACCACTTTTTATGAAATGTCTTGATGTCAGTAATGTTTTTATTCGTCTACCAAGTTCGAAGGTTGGATGTTTTTCATTAGTTTCCATTTAAAAGTTAGTCTAATTTATTGTGCTAATTTGCACATCAATTAAAAAAACAAATTTTTTTCTCATAAAAAGGCTTGTTTTTTATTTTATTCTGCTAAATTTTTCGAAAATTGGAAGAAAAGGATTTTTGCTCCGTAATTCATTCAGATAAATTCAGTAAAACAGAAAATTTTTTTTGGTCTTGTAAAGAAATTTAAAATATTTAAATTTCAGATCTTGCTTTTAACTGATTACGGAGCAAAAATCCTACAGGCTATTGAAAACAGTGAAAAACGTTTCGAGTTTCATTCCAATTCAGCTAATTTTGATTTCGTACAGAGTCTTTCTGTCGATGATCGAGTCCTTGTAATGGTTAGATTAATTTTTTTTTAAAGGGTTTTTTGGATTTCCATTATATATTATATATATATATATATATGTATATATTATATGATATTTAAATTTATTTAAATTAAAAATATATTAATAATTATTATAATTATTAATTTATTAATTGTGTTTTATTAATTAATTATTTACATTAATTATATTAATATTATGTAAATTGTTTAAATGATCCCCATTTTTAAAAGCATAAAATCGTGAAGTTTTTATCACTGTTTTTTTCATCCATTAAGTTAATATATAACTAGCTTCTGAATATTTTCTCGTCTTTCTTGTCTGTCGCAATGTTCTATTCGTTCTTATCTTCAATTTTGTTGGGTCATTGGTGTCAACGGTTTTCTTTTCATATTACTGAAGTATGTCTGCTGAGATATGTCAAAACTGAAAACAAAATCTATAAAAAATCAATCTGCTTAGGTCAAAAATTTGCTAAAAATAAAAGAAGTGCAAATCATCTTTTTTTTTCGACTAAATTTGATTAAAAAGTTGAAAAGAACCACTACATTCTTTAAATGGGCAATGCCATTTCCAACCTGGCTCTATCTCTATCTCGTTTTGACTCCTTTGAATTCTATTATATTTCTTTCAAATTGGCGAATCTATTCTTTTTTAATACTATAAATTTAAAATTGTCGCATTATCCTCAGTTCGTTAAAAAAAAAAAAGGAACAGGCGTAAAAATATACTGCGAGATTTGGAAAAACTTAAAAAGAAACATTAGGAGATAGAGTTTTAAAAGGAAGTGAGTCTATTCTGCTCTAGAGAGCAAGGATTTAAGAGAGGAGAATACTGGGTTGCAATATTGATGGGATCTACAGGAGTTATTTGATGCGTTATTTGCAATATTTTGAGCAAGTTACTTCTTCTATGCAATCAGGTATTACGAATCTAACAGTCGGGTAGCATGAAGTGATAAGCTTTGTTTATCAATATCTGCGAAGATTATAATATATCAATATATTCAAAATAAATATGTTCAAATGTCAAAACTTTAAGAATTCTAAGAATTGATGCTGTTTTCTGATTCATTTGGAAAAACCTTTTATTAAAGTTGAAATCGAAATGGCTTTCGAAATCCATCTTTAGTTCCAAATAATTGTCTGGCTAGTCTGTTCTATTCAGTGAAGCTAGTCAAATCAGGAATACCTTTTTGTAATTTTTTTCAAAGATATTTTTTTTATTTTGATTACTTTTTTAATTGCATTATTGATTGTATCTTTGATCGAATGAAAATTGAACATACTCTCATCACTGTTGTTGTTTTCAGTATCATTTATTTCTAAAAGAAACCGGTTTTTAAATTTCATCGAATTCCTTTATTCTTATATATATTTTTGACAAAATTTTTATCGATTTTTCATTGCTTTTATATTTTTCGTAAATAAATCAAGTCTGTGGTAATTTTTTTCTCGGCACTTTCATTATCGTTATATGAATTGAGGTGAAAATTTTAAGAATTTAGGTTAAACAACCCGCAAGTAAATTTGAAACATTAGAAGTGGGTCATGTGAAATGGATTGGTGAATTGGAATCGAAAGTTGGAATCTATTTTGGAATTGTTCTCGAGGTTAATCTTATTTGTTATCTTTCCTTCACCGTTAATATGAAACGCGGTTGGTCTTATGAGTTATCAGTCAGTCAGTATTTAAATTCATCCATGGAACAATGTGCAAAAGTGTGAATTTCATTTAAGTGACTGTGAACATCATCTACGTAGAATTGCGTAGTACGCAGTTTTTTTTTGGCTCAATTTTCAATTAAATTAACATATTAAAGTGCATTTGAATGAAATTTTTTAAATTTTTTAGCTATCTAAGCATGCACTATTCGCCAGTTTTTCTCGTCATCAATGAATGAATATTAATAAATTATGGTTGATAGTCCTATATTGCCTAGAGAAGGAATGGTCATTAAATTTTGAGATTTTAGAAAATATTGGAATGAAGGTTTTGAAAATATTAATAGTTTACCTAAGCTAAGAGTTAAAGCTAATCGAGAAAAGCTCGTATCAATGTAGGCAAACAAATTCTAGACTCTTGTTTATTTTGTATAATTTTATAACCAGGAATCGAACTGAATTTAATTAATAAAATTTACTTTTATCTTTTACTAACTTTTTTTTATGATTGGTTTTTCTCAAGATGTTTTTTGAAATTTATCTCTAAAAGTTAATATTTCCTATTTTATAATTTGATGGAAATGTTATTTTGGGAAAAGATGGGCAAAAATTACTTGCTTTATGTTGTTGCTACCTGTTCTTTTGATTTTATCTGAAGGTCAAAATCTCAAAATTTGCATTTTACCTATAATTTTTTAAAATTCTTTTATTAAGCTCTGTAGCAAGAAGAATAGCGATTTAAAGAATTAGATGAATTGAATTATAGTTAATACTTCAAAGGGTTTAGAAAGAAATGACATGAAGCTTGTCGAGTTTAAAATTTGTTTAAAGAAAAAAATTCAATTTGCCAAAACTTTTATATTTATCTTATGTTTGAAGATATTCTTATTTTTATGCGAATTTTCTTTTGGATTTATTTTTTTTGATTTGAGGAGCCAGTAAACTGTTGAGACAAAAAAACTGCAAAGGTTTTTCAAGTTTTTTTAGTCAGAGAGTGTATTTAATAGAATTTTTCCCATAATTTTGAGTAAATAACAATTTTAATTACGACATTATTTTGAAGAAAACAACAGGTTCACATATTTATATTATTTTCCAATTGTATAGTTTTAGTTCCCTCTTTGATTTTTGTTGCCTTGCCCTCTTTTTCTAGTTCTTTTTATTCATTTGGTTGCTATGGACCTTTTTCCTTAAGTTTCGGAAATTGCTTTTTATGTCTTTCTTCATTCATCTTATTCATTGGAATCAAATAGAAATAGAAAAAAAGAAGGGGTATTTTTTTCATTTTTTTGTCATTCCTTATTTACATTAATGAGCATATTTATGTTTTTCTTTCTAAATATGACTAAAATTATAGTTTTAATTGCCATCATTTTATAATTCGATTTTTGAGATGAAATAAATTTTTTCAGAGTGCATTTGGAAGTATGGATGGATTATATAATGGGCGACGATTATTTACTGCTCCAAATAATGGTGCAGTATTGGTTTCAGGTGATTATCTTCAGTCACCTTCAGTGACTAAGCAAAACGCTAATATCTTACCGTTTTCTACTGAAAATTTTGAAAATTTTCAAAATCAACATCCATCTTTTGCACGGTAATATATTTATTTGTAATTATGTATTTATGATAGGAATTTTCCAATTTTTATAACTTTTTTTTGGACATTCGATTCACTATAATTTTTAGAATGCGGAATTTTCGATGGAATATTTTCGATGGAAATCTTTCTTTTCAATTGAAAAATTGTTCTCACAAAGCTTCCAAAGCTAATTCTTATTTAGTGGTTGAATTTTTTTTCAGGAAAGCCAGTAATTCTTCGACCAATAATAATAGCAATGCCAATTGTACTATTGAAAATTCGCCATACGTCCATCAAGTTCCGATTCGCATTGTACCTGAAATATGTCGCAATTATCAGAAAACTTTGCCACATTTAGTTCCTTATTCTATTAATATTCCTATCGTAAAACACGAAAGGTTTTCATTTTTATTTTTTTTCCTTCTTAAATTTTAATCGTACAGTAGATAATATTTGAAGGTTATTAGGTTTTATTTAAAAGCTTTGAAAGGCATAAAACTGGAAACCAGTGATTGGTTTGATAAAAGAAAACATATACTAATAAGAAAACATATACATATAAGAAAACATATAATAATTTCATATACTACATATTCAAGAAAGCATGCTAACCTATTCTCTTGATATTTTTAGTTTCTATTTAAAAAAAAAAAAAAAAAAAATTATTTTTAGTATTTCGCGTTCTTCACATAAAGCTTCAATAGAAATTCATTCAAAGAACGAAGGAGAAATAACGAATACATGTAATTTTAACGCCAGTCCTTCTGTTGTGGAACCAACAGTATGTACTCAAAATCCAGTTGCTCATTCCAACGACTATTCAAAAATTGATCCATCGAAACATTCAATTAGTAATGAAACAGTTTCGTGAGTCAATTTCGATTTATTGCATCTCTTTTTGATTTATATAATGATTTGAATCCATGATGAATGATTTAAAAAATTTTTTTTCAAATTTTTATTTTAATATGTAAAATTTTTATATATAAATTTCATCTTTTAAAAAATATTCTTCATGAAACTAAATAAGTTAACTGTCGAACGAATTAAAAAATATTTTTCAGTTTATCGCAGCTCATAAATTCTGTATCAACAGGTGATCGTGTTGTTTGGTTTGATGCGTCTAATATACCCAGGCGAGGAACTGTCAGATGGATTGGTCATCTTCATGGTCATTCAAATATATATGTCGGAGTCGATTTTGTAATCTTTTATTTTCTAGAAAATTGAGAAATTTACATTTGTCATGCTGCCATGAATTTAGTTTCGGTCAGTCTCGATCTGGTCAATGATGATTCATATACCGCCCCAGGCCGATTGAAATGATGAAGGGTTTAAACTGAGACCAGCTATTGAGCCAGCTATGACGATAATTTTTTTAACACACATATCAGTTAAGCTAATCATAATTTTGATTTTCTTTTAAAGGTTGACATTTAAGGATGAAGCAGTTGGTGGAGGAACCGGCCGCTATGAAGGTGTTCAGCTATTTCGAACTGCGTTAAATCATGCTGGTTTTTTGCCCTTATTAGTTTGTATAAAAGAATCGGATTTGGATGATGGCTCACAAGGTCAGTCTTTTCGGCCCATGATATCGCAAAGTTTTAGCGATACATTAATATCACAATCGAATTCATTGAATCGTGATGTCAATGCTAATGAAAAATTGTTGCAGTCGCCATTCACAGTTGGTAATAATTTCATTTAATATAAAGGACTATCTTATTTTCTGCTAAATTATATTGATCATAGGGTTTTAATATTAATGTTAAAAAACTTTATGATTATTTGAATCGGAAAAAGGTTGTTATAAGATATAAAGTAGATATAAGCATAGAATTTTTGCAGAAATCTCATTAATTTTTATGGCATTATAAACGAAATGTTTTTTGTCTTAATCTTTTTAAAAATAATACTTCTTTATATCTTTTCGAAAAAACTGCTTAAAATTTGCATAAACTTTAATTCTATTTTTTCAACTCCTCATTTATTTTGACATTCGCTCTCGAAGATGACTTTAAATTTAAAAAAAAAATAAAGGTTCGTGCGTGGAAGTCGATTTTCGTGGGGAAAAACGATTCGGCGTCGTGAAATGGATTGGTCGTTCATCAGATGAAGATTGCGCAGTCGATGAGAAGATCGCTGCCGTTGAAGTAGTAAGTGATTAGCAAAAGTTAGATTTTTCTTGTGAGTTAGAAGTTAAATTGTGTTGCTTTAATGGATTTGTTTAAATTTTGATTCTCTCGTTTTATTTTTCATTTTTTTCTATAAAGATATCTTTTAGGAAAATGATCTGCCTCTTGATTGGCAATCTGTTTCTTCTAATCAACAAATACTATTCACAACTTCTAATGAGTTTCATCAACTGAACGATATCATTGTTATGGTCCCTATAAGTGCACTTCGCCCAGACAATCGTTTTGCCACGCCAATTATTGGTGAAGCTGCAGATGGTCTTGGAGAAACAGCAGGTTTATTTCAATTTTTTAGGTTAAGCATTTCTAGGAAAATTTTTTTTATCAGTAAGAAGCGTTTGAATCCGCATTTTTCAGTTTTAAATTCTTTTTACGTAAATTCTCCATTGCAGGAGTTGACATTTCGTTACTTGCTATACCCTATAATAGGTGGCGTCAAAAGTGAGGATTGATATAGTTAGGGAAGATTTTGAACGTATAAGTGGACCAACAATATATGGGCTTAGGCGATGGAAAAATGAATGGTTTATTATCAGCGATGGCATCGGATCTAAGAGCTTGGAAACGTTTTAGCCAGTGAAACCTCCTTAAGTAATGGTGAGAGTTAGAGAAAAAAGGCTTGATATCTCTGAATCAAATTTTTAGCAAAAAATAGAAAATTTGGAAGCATTGATAGTGGAATTGAATCGAATTATTGTCAGCCTACTCGAATGATTGAAAATTTGGTTGGCCGAATGAAAGGAATTCAGGGATATAGAAATAGTTGTTATTTGGACGCAACTCTTTACGCTATGTTTGTTCAGTGTAATGCATTTGATAGGTAATTTAAATTTAAATTTTGTTATAAATATGTTTGATTAAATTTCTGTAAAAATGAAATGTCAATCGTCATAGTCAATGTCAATAGTCATTTTAAACGACTGATCTTGGTTTTTATTTGCAAATAAATTTTTTCTTTAAATATTTACCCTTTCATTTAAGTTTGTTGGAAAAAAGCGAAGCGATTCGTAACGATGAGCTGAGATGTGAGCTTGTACGGATTTTATCAACTGAAATCGTCTATCCTTTGAGACGGTATCTTATTAATCGTACTTTGAAAATCAATTATCTAGATAAATCTTAATCCGATTTTTCGTAGTTTTACTATTTAGAAATTTTATATTATGGATTTCTTATACTCACTGGTCGAAATTTTTTTTGCTATGCTTAGATTCCATTTTGTCCGCGCCGATCATGTTCTTAATCTGCGTCAACTTCTTGAGCGTTTATTGCCAGAAATGCGAGGATTAACAAGTGATGAAAAAGATCCTGAGGAATTCCTTGCTGCTTTGTTTAAAAAGCTTCTATTTGTGAAGCCTTTTCTAATTATGAGGTGTGCTATACTGATTTTTTTGCCAGAAATTTTTTCGAAAATAGATAAATAATTCGATAATTTTCAAAAATTTTAAATGAATAATAAAAATAAATGAAATTTGATGAAATTAAATGAAATTTCATGATTTTATCAAAATTTATTAAATTTCTAAGCAGCCAAACATTATTTGATCGAAAAAGATCTTTTAAGGAATTTGGCAGATGGCAAAACGGATTTGGCACATATATGTCCGTTAATCACAGAAGATTTATGGAGCTGTGAACAGCGTTACATAATCAGTGTTCAGTCGTTGCTTGAACGTTCTCTATTCGCATCCAACATACAGTTTGCTAAAGTATTCTTTCTTTGCAGCATTTTTTTTTCTTCTCCAGTTGATGTTATATCCCGACTAATTTAATTTTTAAAATGACTGTTCGAAGAGAGGGCACAAAAAATTTTATTGGATGAAAGATAGGAGGAGGTTGGTCAATTTGGAGCAAATTTAATTGATTTAAATTTTAATGAAACACAACGAAATTCTCATATCAAAATTTTTTAAAATCGTTTTTATTCCTCTTTTCTATTTCAGATATAATTAATTAAATTTGCTATTTTTATTACCGATTTACGTAAATTTCAAATCTCTAGTTACTTAAATTTTTATTTTACATTCATAATCTTTTTGAATTATTCCATGAGAATATTTATCCAGCATTTTATGTAACTGTTATATTTCAGGACCCTAAAATTTTAATCTTACAATTACCACGATATGGTCAACAAAAAGTTTTCGATAAAATCATTCCACAGCAAGAACTTGACATCACTCATCTTGTTTATGATCGTAAATTTTTCGATTTAAGTGGACTTTTAGCTAATAGAATAGGAAGCATATAGAGTATTCATATAAAGCCATTATAAAGTGTTGAGAATAACGCCATATATTTTCTGAAGTTATCAGAGAAATCACACGGGATTTAAACAATTTATTGAACGGGTATAGTGCAATGAAACAGTTATTCACTGTGATTATTATAAATTTGAATAATTAAACTGATGGTTAACAAAAAAATTTGGCATTAGAAGCTTTAAGGTTTTCATATCGGTTATTTAATTAATCTAAATATTAGCTGTAGTTATTAATTATTTATATGAATAAACGAAATTAAAATGTGATAATTACGATACGCAAACTTAAAAATTTATTTTATCATGCGGCGATCACCACGATAACTGTACAAACAAAAAAATTTTAAAATTTCATTTATATTGATGGACCCCTCGTTCCCCATCGTGGACGTACCAGTGATTTGAGGCAGCGACTACAACAAAGCTCGCACAATGCCAATAGGATTTATAAGAAAGGAATAAAAAAAAAGGAGAATAGAAGAGATTTAGAACAAAAAAAAGTCGAAATGGTAAATTTTTATTCCATCGCTAGCTATTGAGATACATCTCGACTTTTTCTACTGGCGTTAAATTCCAACTAAGTTAATAAATCTACAACTAATGGCTATAGTCGTCTCAGAAAAAAGATCGTTTTAAGGTTAATTATAATGAGTAATGCAAATGTGCTTCCAATTAAGAATATTATAGAATAGAATTAAAAAAAATTTCAAGATCATAATTTCCTAAAAGATTTTTCCAGAACGACGACCTTGTGCGACATGTGGAAAATTGGCAGATTTGATGTGTCCAGAATGTTTTCTCACGAAGGAAGTCCTACTTAGTGAGGTTATATTTCGCAGTTCTTGTTTGATTTTATCCTGTTTACAAGGAGGGTTAGATGATTGAATCGTGCGTCGCTTCAACTAATGATAGCAATGTGGTTCAGGATTTGTTCTTTGAATAAGACTGCACTGTTAGTGAAGGTGAAATCTATGGCTCTTCTACCTCTATCTCCGAGTGACTACTTGTCAAAAAATTTCCATCCTAAGTCACTTGAGTCAGTCAAATCAGAATTGATGTCTTTTGATAAATTTATTAAACTGGATATTTTATAGTAAAACTGTAATTCAATTTTTTGTTTGGTAAAGATTTAGAGATTTTTAGGTAACGTACTGTGGGTTGTGCTATGAAAAGGCTCATGTCGGTTATGACCATCGTTCACAGTTGTTAGATTCTCTTTCTGAACGTGGTGGTTTATTATCATTAACGGAACATGCTTTATCGCTTACTCGACGCTCACAAATTGCTCAACGCAAATTACAGTTATCTGCAGTTTTATGTATTGAAACTTCCCACTATGTTTCATTTGTTCGATCACCTTCTAATAAGTGGTTTTTATTTGATTCAATGGCTGATCGTGTCGGTCTTTCTGATGGATACAACATACCACAGGTTGTTTTTGCTTGAAATATAAAAAGTATAAAAGTATATGAAAGGTTTCTTTGGTGTGTCCGTAGCTAATGGCATTCGAATTTGAATTTATTGCATCATGCTTCACAGAGCTGCCGAACTGCGAAAATAAGAAAGAATAGAATGGTTGTTGCTCAATTTGCAGCACCGATGATGCAGTTTTACCCAGCTGTAAATCTGTCTTTCAAAACTCCGGGTGATGCTAGCGACTCATTTTTATTCAGTACTCTTTCACTTAGTGACTCCTGGTAAAATTTGTCCTGTCCATGAAGCCGTCGAAGTTGGCCTAATTAATTGCTCTTATAAAAAGTTTCACAAGTTTCAAATCTACACTTTTTTGTTTGATTTTTTTTCTCAATGACTATTATAAATATTCTTCCAATTTAAAATAATTGAAGGTGAAACAGTGTGATAAAATTTCATCATGGCTATGCGAATCAGGTTGGCCCAAATTGCAGTCATTCGTTTCAAGAGAACGACATTTGCCAAGTGAAGTCGAAAATGATCCTAGTTTGCTGAGACTTTTAAGCGATTGCTATATATGTATTTATATAAGTGATGAAAAAAAAAATGATGGTATGAATTTATCTAAATTTTTCGCTTAATATTTCGGTTTATCGTATTTTGGGTATGTATATTATTAATTATGAATTGTTTTATATGGCACCAAATGGTATTACAAAGCTATGTATAATGATGTGATTTAATTTAATGCGTGATAATTGATTGGAATTTAAAAATTAATCAAATATTTTACGTAAAAAAAACCAACCAACAATTGATGTATTTATGACATTTACATATTGCTGTAATGAACGATATAACTAAAATTATTTATATATCCTTTATATTAAATATTATATTAAATTAACTTAATATGATTCATTCAAAATAAAAGATTCAGCTTCATTACCTTCAAGTTGAATTTTCATAAATAATATAAAATAGAATTCTCTAATTCTCCTCTCCGGAAAGAGTCTTGTCCTGATAGTGGAACCACCAAATTAGATAGGATGGATGCTGGTGAAGAAAAAATATTGATAGAATATTTGACCACATTGTGTCAAAATTCTGAGGCTAACAGCAAAAAATCAAAAAATTTCGCAATCACAAAAGCATCCAGCTGAAATTTCTTGCAGTAGCGTCTTCGAAGTATTCCTTTTAAGAGATTTTCCCAAAAGCCTAACGGGTATTAGTACAGTAACTAATTCTTTCAAAGAATTCGACGACCAAATGAGGACATTTCTCTTTTGCAATCCTTGAAGGAACAATGTCTGCTTCTTCATGCCCTTTCCATTTTACCATCATTAGTATTTCGTTGTCTTTTGCGTATGCGCCGATAATACGCTCTGGTTCTAATCCTGAAAAATGAATTTTCTACATACCATTTCAATTTTACAACAAATTTCCGCTCAATTTTTATAAATTTTTTTTAGAAACAAATTACTGAAAAATAAAAAAAGAATCGATTTTCAAAAAGAAATATAAATTTCCAAGAGTCAAACCACGTTCAAAACCGCTGGTACATTCGTCGTTTACTGGAATTTTCCTTTTAAATCCTCTTTTCATTCTTTCTTCCTGTTCATATTGCTGGAAATTATTAAATTACAAAGAATAAAATTCATCATTTCGCAATTCACAAAATCACAAAAGCAAAATAAATTTTTTCTGCTTATTTTCAGTGGATATATTGTTTGGCCTTACATAACATAAAAAATTTTAAGTAAGGGATAAAAGAGGACCTGAATCAAATCAGGACAATCGAGATTTTCTTCTGGTTCCCACGAATTTTCCGAGGCTGGATACCCTTTCCAGCTAAGAAAGTACTCCACGCCGCAGGCGCCAATTCTTTTATCCAGTATTTTTTCAACAATATATTCTTCGTCTTCCTTAAATTATAAAATTTTACGCAAGGTGTGAAACCAAGAATAATTTAAGTGATTTTAAGTGATAAGTGATTTGTAAATGACAACCAGTTTTTTGGAAATTATAAGATTATGCTCGCAATAATAATCATAAAATAACTTTTTATCGAAACGATGAAATCAACGAAATAAATTAAAACAATTCATTTAAATCGAAGGATGCAAAAATTCGAATAAAAGAAAGCTTATTACTTAGGAGATTTGTCATCCCAACCTGACAAAATTTTACCTAATTTTGATAAAATTTCATTTAATTTTGATGTTTTATTCCAGTGGATGATTGAGGTTAAGCATCATAGGTTCGAACTTATTCCTTAATAGGAAAAAACCTATTATCAAAAGTGGATAAAGGATGGTTGATACTGGTGACCCAACTGCATTCTTATTCCTATTGCAAAGACTCTGGCGAAAAATTTAATTCAGTTTCCTCGTGTGGAAGCAAATTAGAAATGATGGGCATCTTCAAAAAAACGAGAAAAATTTGATATTTGACGAAACTGACGAAATTTTGACGGAAGAATTCCGTTTACGAACGTGTAATTCCTAGACAAGACCATATATAACATTTCCATGAATGTACATCGAACGACAGCATATTTTAAAAAATTTCGAAAGAGTGAAATGAAAATACTTTTCACAAAAAGGTTATTATGAGATGAAAAAATGAAAAATGGAATTGAACCAGCAATTTCAATAATTAACAAATTAAATATCAATCAAAAAGCAATGAAGAGAAAGCTGATAAAGCAGTTTTTTTTCAGAGCGGTGCTAAGAAATTTAGTGCCATGCCAAAGAATGAATTAGCAAGAGATTTAAATTAAATGCGATGATCTCACCCATAAAGAAAGCAAAAACTGCACTATGGCCAATGGAGTGCGAAAGATACGAAAAATGAACTGGTAATAAATGGCCAAATGAAAGAAACAAAAACCTTGCAGGCTAATTTCCGAAAGAGTAGAGGCGATTTAACCCCCACAGTAGCCTTTTTACTTTTGCCATTTCAGGGAAAATATATTATTTCTAATATGCAAATATAAAAAATATATATTATAATATGTTATCAAATTGGGATGAAGAAAAAATTCGGACGGTTTCGCAAATCATCTGATAGAACCCTTAACTGAAAAAAGAAGTGAAAAAAAAAATTCATTACCTCACTTTGTTGTGAATTTACGTTCGAATCCATTTTTAAAAATCCAGTTGAACTGCTGAACAAATAAAAAAATTAAAACAAAAGATTTGGATATTTGTCAATCCATTCCGGACCGATCAGAGAAAATCGGAAAAAAATAAATGCTTGATAGAGTGTGTTTCTATTCGGAAAAAACGACTGTCATACGAAATTTCGACGCAACAAAGTGAAATCCTTCGACAACCCGAATCTTACGGGAAAGGCCTATTAAAATTTCACTGAATACCTTATTACTACCCCAAATAACCCAATAAGGAACAAAATCTCAACTCTTTTCTGCTGCTTTAATTCCTTCCATATCCCATCGCATGTGCATAAAACCCTCATCCACATTACGTTGCTCGACCTTGATGCTCAACCAAACCTCGCGGCGGACTTTTTCCTCTTTACTACTGAGAAGCAAGAGGAAGGACATCTGCGTGGACAGTGGTCCAGGCGGCACTGTTTAAAGATAAAAAGTGTCCCCCGCAGAAATGTATCTATCAATTGAGAGAAGCGAAATCTATTACGCCTATCTGTACTTCTCAACCAACTAAATTTCTAAAGAAGTTAATAAAACGCACGGCGAACCTAAAACTGTGCAGCAATAGGCCATGGACCAATGATAACCAGGAATGGTAACTGCCAAACACTCAACGAAATATCTATGAATATCCGCAGCCGAATTTTCATTTGATACTATCGCTCAGTTTCGGTCACTCGGAATGCTTAACGTAATTCGCGATGCGATTGAAACGGCGAATGTGATCCTGGTCGGAGTTCATCGTCAACGTGTTATTCACTCACCTTACTGAACGAAATTATCGCTAACATAGGGAACTAGCAAAAATGCGAAGTTCCACACCATGAAGCACGTAACTCCGTCCACCTCCACGCTCAAAGACTCAAATAGCATTTAAATGTAGATGGGCGTGTTTAACGAATAAATTTTAAAAAATATACAAAAATTTATTCGCAATCGATAGTGTTAAACAGCAGCGAAAAGCGGTCGTTGGTTTAGCAGTTGTTCGATTAAATTTTGCTTTTTTCCTCGGAAACAAAATTCCGTCGCAAAAATTTTTGTTTTTTTTCTTCCAAAAATTCGTAAATTTGCTTTTTTCGAAAAATTACAATTTTATTAAATTAAAAATTTCGGCATTCGGCAAACTTTTTAAATCGACGCAAATAAATTTTTTAATTCATTTCCGTCAAAAAAAAATTATTTTAAAATGATTCGTAAATAAATTAGTTTTTAACATTCGCTTTCGCCGGCGTTCTTCGTTTTCGAGTGGCTGCACGGCTGCCGATTCGGCTTAGCGCACTGGCGAAGGCGTCCGCGATCGGCCGCCGCCCTGGCAATAAGCCTTTAAAATGGGAGGAAACCGCTGGGCCAGCTGTGTGCTCCGTGGATCGCGCCAGGCGGGCAGTGGTCCTTGACGCCATCCACGAAAAGCTTTGCAAGCGGCGAGATGTGCGTCAACGAGATTCCTGTGGTTAAGAACACGACGAAGAACATAGCCTAACCGGCGTAAGCGGCGCTTAACTATGAGGGTCGTTTCGCTTCTTTTATCACTCTTCTAGTATTATTTGTTCAGATTTTTTTGATTTTTTTTAAAAAACATAGTATTTAATAATTCTATCCTTTTTTACGACATTTTATATATTCTTCTCAGTTAAAATTTTATTATTAATATTCAAACTAAAGTGAATTTAGAAATGATCGTCGATGACCCGGCATCGAATTCGAATAACGCCAGTGCCACCATCAATCACATTTCTTTGGATTGGAATGTCGATTTCGGGCGTAAATGTATTTTTGGTGTTGTTGAGTTGTTTGTACGAATATTAAACGACACTGCAAATATCGTAAATTTTTTTCATCTCTTTAAGAGCATTCTTAAATGAATTTTTCGAGTGAAAATCATTTTATCAAATTAGATGAAATTCCAAATTAAATTTTTAGATGAACGCTTGATGATTAAAAAAACAAGTGAAGCAAGCGAAAAATTCGAGGGCGCTTCACTTGTTTTTTTAATTTCATTCTCGAGCGATAATTAATTAAATCAAATTTCCTGAATTTTTTCTAAAATAGTATTAAATAAGATTGGACAAAATTTATTAGATTGAAGGGTAAAAAACCTACCATCAGAAGAGAAATCCGGGTTATTGCAGAACTTCTGTCTTCAAATGGCTCTCTTTTGCGAAATAGTCTCACTGCATTAGTCAGTGGAACCAGGTAACTCAAACATAATGCGTGCTTTTAGAAGGAGAAGATCCGTTATATTTTTCGCAATTTTAAGTTCATTATATTCATTTGAATTCTAATTTGGAACTGATTTCAAATTTACTTTAAAATTTTGGGTTAATATTTATTCGAATACAAAGATTATAATTTTTTTGTTCTCACTAATATCAAATAAACAAATTTAGATTCTGGATGGACGTTCGCTAACAATCAAAGCGATTAGGATTGTTGATATGGAAAAAGTAACATGGACGAAATTTGATGAAAATGTACTAGGTGAACGTTATGTTATTGAATTTGATAAGCGAAAATCTGGTGATGAATTGTTGGTTTTTTTCTCTTCTTTTTATTATTATATTTATGCTTTTTTAATACTCTTCTATTCATTTCTTTGCTCCTTCCATCAATTTTTTATTAATTATACTTGAATCAGCTATGATGGGTCCAAATTTTGGATACTTTTTATCGAACTTTGGCCAGAATTTGGATAACGAGATTTTTATATATCTCCTTATCCTTAGAAATCTTATGTTTATCTTATCTTTTTTCATCTTTTCATCTTTCAAATTTTACGTTACGTTAAAGTTGTGGTTTTTCAGCGTTTTGACTGTTGAATACAATACGGGTGAAGCTGAGAAATGTACTGCATTGCAGTTTTTAAATGCCGAGCAGACAACCGATAAACTTGGACCTTATTTATTTAGTCAATGTCAAGAGATAAATTGTCGTTCACTGTTACCTTGTATGGACACTCCATTAGTAAAGCAGTCATATGAAGCAAAAGTTGGTTTAAAAAATTTAAAAAATTTCGGTTGTTCATTATTTTGTTCATTATTTGATATTTGAATCCACATAAAACCATCATAATTAATTATCTTCATACGCATTAAAAAGGTAATAAAAGGATGAAAAGAGCTGATCAAAAAAAAGTGATTTTAGAGAAATGAGAAAAAGGCACAGTATAATGGCGAGTCAACAATTATCAAAAAAATTAATAATTCTTCTTAGTTCTTTGAATGTTTTTTTATTATTGATGCTGATTTTTTGCTTGATGCAAAAATATTTTATGCAAAAAGTGAATTCTTTTTTTCTTCTGATCTAGTTGAAATCTAATTGAGTGTCAACGGTGATTACGAGATTATTCATAAAATACACCTCGTTTAAATTAATTCAAATAACAATTCGAATTATTTCCAAGTGCTTTCATACGAAAATTTCGAAAATTTACTTGTCCCTTGTTTGTAAAAAATTATTTCTTATATTCAATTTATACTTCTATGAAATAACAGATTTTTTGGTTTGAGGTATGAAAGCATTATTTAATGTTTAATATAGTTATACAATTTAATATTATATAGTTATATAATTATTTAATATAGTTATATAATTGAAAGGTAACCGTACCAAGTGGATTTACTTGTTTGATGAGTGCTATGGAATGGCAGCGCGAAGAAAAAGAGGATTTTTCAACATTCTATTTCAAACAGTTCATTCCGATCCCATCTTATTTATTTGCAATTGTTGTTGGAATACTCGAAAAACGATCAGTTAGCGATCGTTGTGCGATATGGGCTGAACCATCGGTCGTTGACAAAGCGTTTTTTGAATTCTCAGAAGTTGAAGATATATTATGCACTACAGAAAGTATTATTGGACCATATGTTTGGGAAAGGTAATCTTAATTATTTTCTCCTAATTTTTTCCCTTTTTCACCAGTTTTTCTATCAGAAAATTTGTTTGGAAAATAGAGAAATCTTGAATATTTTTTCTCACACATCCTTGTTTGTGCTTGAATAAATAGTAAATCCATGTGATGGAACGCAAAATTAAATGTTAATGAAAAAAGTTGCAAAGTTTTTATTGCAAATTTTTGAATATGATATTATATGCAAATGAAAAAGTAGGAGAAAAAATTAAAGAAAAACTAATACCATACAAACCAAAAATCTTCCAGCTATTCTGCTTTAGCACAAATAACCAAAAAATGCCAAAATTTTTTAACAAATTTTCTTCATAATAAATCTTATTGCAAAATTTTCTTTATAATTTATAATTTACGGTGTTTCAGATATGATTTAGTGGTATTGCCTTCATCTTTTCCATTTGGTGGAATGGAAAATCCGAATCTGACGTTTGTAACTCCAACGTTATTAGCTGGCGATAGATCTCTTGTGCGTGTTATCGTCCATGAAATAGCTCATAGTTGGACGGGTAATTTGGTAACTAATGCGAATTGGGAGCATTTTTGGTTTTTAGTTTTTAAATTTATTTTATTGTCCGAAAACTTTCTTTAGTCTTATATGTTTTTAAATTTTTATATTATATTTGAGGTTAGAAAAATTTATAAATTTATAAATTACGAATTAGAAAATATAAGGGATTTGAATTATTGCTGATCTGGTTGGCTGAGGTGTGATATTTTCGTTAGAGAATCAAGATATGATTATCAATTCTCCTAGTTACTCGGCGATTTGTGCAGTTTTCAGTTTTTTTCTTTATTGTTCAGAATTATGGACCATCTATCTAGAATCCAAAAAGGCAATATTTGTATACACAATTTTCTTGCGATTTATTTAAGGTTAAATGAAGGCTTCACTGTATTTTTGGAACGAAAAGTTCTTGGGCGACTTTATGGTGAAGATATCAGGCATTTCGAAGCCGAAATGGGATGGAATGTTGGCCTTATTTATAAGCTATCCTGCTTATTATTTTTTTATTATTATTTTTTTTAAAATTAATTTCACTTAGAGATTTTTAATAGATTTTTCTTAAAGATTGAAATTCTTTAAAAGTTTTTAATTTTTTCGAGTTAAACCAGTTTTTTATTTTTAAAAGTGAATAAACATTTTAAAACGAGTTGCTCGTCATTTTTTGAAGAATATTTTGAAGATATTTTACAATATAAATCTTAAAAGTAAAAATTTTGAGAATGTTTTATAAATCTTAAAAATCACCAATTCATTTAGGCTCTTGAGTTGGATATTAAAGAAAGGTTCTCAGAAAGTGATCCTTTCACCAAACTGGTTCAGCAGCATGGCAAAATCGATCCGTTCGATGCTTTTAATATTATACCGTATGAGAAGGTATGGGGATTACTTCAAATGCCATATTATTATCAAATATATGGAACTATTACAACAAAAAAAATGATTAAGGCGGTCAAAAGACTAGTATATAGCTAGCATAGCAAATCACGACATAAACTTCCAATTATCATTTTGCAGGGATCTGCTTTCTTGATGTATCTTGAGCAAATACTCACCAACAATGATCCTTTGACCTTCGAGAATTGTCTGCGAGATTATATCGAGAAATATCGATATAAGTCAGTAACCTCGTCCGATTTCAAATCTTTTTTATATGAATATTTCCAGGACAAAACCACTATTTTAGATTCAGTTGATTGGCAAACATGGTTTTTTTGTACAGGAACCCCGCCAAACAAGCCAAGGTTCGAATTTGCATTTTAATGTCTCCTTTCATTGTTTTTTTCAAAAATTCTTCCTTAGAATTTGCATTTTAATGTTTCCTTTCATTTTTTCAAAAATTCTCCCAAATTTTTCCTGCTAATTTTCACATTTTGTTGTCAAATTTTTATGGGTTAATGTTTCGAAATCGATACATGATGATACAATGACGATGAATCAGTTTGAAATTAAAATAATAGACCGAAAAAAACAAACAAAGGCACCGAAATTTCAAAATTTCAAATTTATTTTATTCGCAAATTTCAATAATAAATTATTTAGCTTCAATGGTCGTCTTATAAAAGTTGTTGATTTACTTGCAAAGAAATTTTTGACGACCAGTGAATCAGACATTCATATGATCAAATTGGATGAATTTAATTCGTTCACAAGCAGTCAAAAAGTCAAATTTCTCAGAATTATATATTCGGTACATTTTGATTACGAAATTTATTTGTTACTAGACGAAATAAATAAAAAACAAAAAATTGTTATGCAAAGTTTTTATAGTATGAAATACCGCTGTCTTTGGAAAAAATCGAAAAACTTGATAGCTTATTTGGCTTATCATTAAATGAAAATTGCGAAATATTTTACTGGTGGATACTAATTAGTATAAAGGCTCGATGGAAAACAATTATACCATTAGCGCTCTCCTTCGTTTCACGCCAAGGACGCTTAAAATATATTCAACCTATATATAGGTAAGAATACTTTATTTTTACAAGAAAAGGGAATTCAAGGAAAAGGATGAAAAAAATATTGAATAATTTTAGCGATTTATTCAAATGGGATGAAAGTGCCTCTGAAGCAATCTCAACATTTCAAAAGAATATTCCCTTTATGCATCCGATGTCGGTGGCGAAGATCAAAAAAATTCTCAAATTGTGAAAGAAATTGTTGCTCATTTAAAAAAAAAAATCAAATATCAGTCAAATTCCCTGGGAAAACAATCTTTAATTTGATGCTTATTCTGTTTCAACTGTTATTATTCTAGCATAAACTTCAAAAAAAATCTTAACAATCTCTAATTTTTTGAAAACTGAGCAAATTTTTAAATGATTATGGCGATTTATGGAGTTCTATGGAAATTTCAGTCCCAGTCTCCAGGAAGCCTTTCCATTTTATCAAGTCCAATCAGAGCTGCCAGAGCAGCCACCTAAAATTTACTTTTAAATATTATTCTTTTTTTTACAGAGAAATTCTGCATATAAAATTTTCACCTGTTCTGCCATTTTTTTGTTTGGTTGACCGATATTCGAAAGGAACTTTCGACCATTAACTTCGATTATCGCTTGAAAACGCTTATCTTTAGACCGTAGCTGCTAAAAAAAAAACGTGAATAAAAATGAGAATTAGTTGATAATTTTAAATAAATCTATTAAAAAATCTATTAAAAATCTATTAAATCTATTAAAAAACTATAAATCTTTCAAGTCAGTTCCAAATAGTGGAGAAAACTAAATTATTTTTTGAACTTACGCAATCGTAAATTGGTCTTTTAATACGAAATTCATCGCACCAAGCGTTTAGAACGCATTTCGGCGTTAGTTTTCCTGATCCATTCTTTAACCTTTTGCTGAAATTGGAGCAATTTATGCAGTTTGGAAAATTTTGAAAAAAAAAAAAAATTTTAGTTAATTAATCTTCAGCAACTCACAGAGGGAAAGTAGCATTGATATGTGTGATACCAGTTTCAAGATCGTCTTTATAAATATATCGTCCACGGATCTTATAAAATTCGTGTTCAAGCGACCAAGCTCTGCAAATCTCGCGAACATCACCTGCTGCAAGTGTTGCGCGACCACGAGGATCAAATTCCTGCAAAAAATTTAGTTTGTTATTTCATAACTTCAATAAGCAGTAAACCATTCCTGGATACTGGTTCGGTAGCCGAAATGGTAAGCTTATTCTGGATTTTTCTTGTTCATTTTTCAAATAATTCAAAAGAGCTTTCACAGGAAATAGTAAGAATTTGCATCATTGAATAGTAAAATCAAGTCTCGCATACTTGTTCACTTCCTAATATTCTTTGTATGACATATTTCGTTGCTGTGAAATTCTCATCGAATTCGCAAGCCTGGAATAAAAAATCTTAAATCAAAGGTTATGTTGAATCATTACTGTACTGACCAGATATTCAAGGACATTGGAACACCGCTTCAGCAACATATCAGCAATCCACCGTCATATATTTTATCGATTCAATTGATAAAGCAGCTCTGGAGTATGATGGAATGACGATGTTCCACAAAAAATCATTCGCCTCATAAAAGCGCTTTATCAGTATATCTTGACTATATATACAGATTTTTATATATGTGGAACTGACAAATTCCTTCTGCAGTTAGAATTCTGTAGTAATCTGCAGTAAGGACTGGTGTTTAGTCAAGGCGTTCCTTCCTCTAATATTCAAGTGTGCAATAGACTGGATAATGGACTCTGTTTGTCGGCACAAGAGATGTAAACATACGCTGATGATGTAGTCTTTTTTGCTAACAATTATAATTAAATGCAAATATAGCAATTATAACTAATGTTAAACAACGTGTCAACAACTTTAGCGAGAATCGGATTCAGAGAACGTAAGTAAAACTAAAACCTTTTCGTCTTATATACAAGAAGCTGATAAAATACCTATTTTTATTAATTCATCGATGGTTGAGGAAGTGCCCGATTTTAAATACCTTGGATCCACTCTATTCCCAAATGGCCAGGAAAAAACGAAATTACAATGGCAGATGGAAATGTTTTTTTTTCGGTTGATGAAACCTTTATAGACTTGTCTAGATGCATATAAAAACGAAAATCCGTGCCTATATAATCGCAATTCTATGGCTGCGAGATATAGCCAAAAGTGGAAGATATTAAGAAGCTATCTACCTTTGATACTCATGTCTAAGATATATCTTATGGTTCGAATCGAGCAAATAAAATCGCACATGATTGTATCTATCTTCGTTCAAATACCACCTGTATTAATAATGAGTGTCGCCTTCGCTGGTTAGGGCACATTCTCCGTCGTCCACCACAAGAATTGTCGCATATTTCATTACTTGATAAATCCTGTGAAGGGTGGCATCAAAATCGAGGTGGTCCAATCAAGACCTGGACTGATACAGAAAAAATTTTGAACGTATAAGTGGACTACCGATATATGGACTTAACGGTGGAAAAAGGAATGGCTTTTGTTATTGTCAGCGGTAGTGTCAGACGGCCAAACAGTTTGGAGATGTCTTATCCTTGAGACCAGTGGAGCAAATCTAGCCAGTAATGGAGAAGGCTTTTAAAAGAATAAAAAAAAAGAATCATTATTTGACATCATCTGAGAAACTTAGGAACAAAGCAACAAAATAAATCAGCTATAAAATCCATTAATAATAATAAATTTACCAGTTTTAAAAAGTTTTTAATTTCTTCATCCTTTGTGGCTAAACCAATTGAAGAGAATATACTGGGATACGCTAATGCCTTTCGTGCGATCATTATGCTACTTGAACCACTTATTGCTCGGATTTTCTCGATATCCTCATAAGTTAAAATCTCGGAAGATGAACCGCTGAATTTCTTTCGTTTTTTTTTCAAAAAATTCTAATCTATTCAAATTCTAATCTTGAAACAAAAGCTATTTTTTTTAGATTTTTACAGTGTGGTAAGTCTTAATTTTAACAATTTGACACATTTATTTCCACAATGAACTGAAGAGGAAGATAGGAAAAAATTGATTTAAAATACTTTGTAATGACTGGGATATTTAGTAGTCGCGCGATTTCATGAATTTCGTCAAGACGGTTTTTGTTTGCTGGACGCTCATCTTTACGACGACCATGAACACCAATCGCAGAAACGCCACATCTCTCGATCATTCGCACAAATTCTAGCGTATCTTCTCGCTGAAAATGTAAATAATGCAAAATTTGCCTTTAAGCCTTAAAAGTTAATCGAGAAAACGAGAGATATTTATTTTTTAAACATAAACATAAATATAGATACAGAGCTTAATTCAAAATTTTTTCTCTGCTCAGTGAATTAAACATACTCGAGAAACAATCTTAAAAAAAACTTGAATTATACAAATTAAATCAAAAAGCTTGGAGTAATAGAATTTGATGAAAATATTTATGAATTTCTAAACCTGGTTAATAAGAACTTTAGTCCTCCTTTAATTAATTAATTTTATTCATTTTTTTCTTTTCTCTTTAATAATAATAGTGGTAGTAATAATATATTTCACTACAATTACTCTCCTAAATCGCATTATCTCTGTAAAAAGGAAATAAACATGTCAGAAAACTAAAATACGAGTGGCTATTGAAGACACTACTTTCTGCAAATGACTTCTCAGTGAAAGAGACTGCTTATACTGGTACGGAATCTAAATCCTCATCCATATCCGGTAATATGAGATAGCTCACAGTGCGATAAATATGTAGACTGGACCTGATAAAACGGTTTAAGAATTCCATGGCTTAGGACCAGAAATAGCCTTCCAGTCAGAGTTCAAGGGAGACTATTAGGGAAATGTGTTGTAGCGAAGACTTGATTATAATACCATAAAAAGAATGGCTAAGTGGGAGCGTTACTGCAATTCTATTCTCAATAGGAGTTTTTTTCAAAATTAAGCTGGCAAACCAATTTCTATCGTTAAGTTATTATTCTTTGACCTCGACAATGCAGCACAACAAGCCTAACCAAAAATGGTTGACCTTAGAAAAAAAAATAAACGACAAAATCTAAAACCTCAAACCTTATCCAAAACACGTATTTTACAAGAAACGGGTAATGAAGATACTTCCACTAAAGATGACAAAATCTGAAAATGAAAAGCATGAAGAAAATTGTTCGCCTCGTTGATTTTAAAAATTTATAGAAAAATTTACACTTTTTACTTCTTCCGGTTTAGTTAAAAGAGCCGCGCCCATTCCTCCGGCAATCGAGAATGGTTTGGGGCAGCCCATATTCACATCAATTGCAGCGACATCATTACCACTGAAAATAAAGAGTTTTAAAAAATAAAAAAAAAAGGTTAATATATGGGAAAGAAAACAATAAGAAAAGGTGAAAGCCAATTTAAAAGGATAATTGGAATGGAAATGAAAAATTACATTTTTTTCGAAATTTCTACAGCATTTTGTGGATTATTTGTGCCCTGAAAAATAATTAATATTTTGATTTTGATTTTTTTTTTTGATTTTCCACCAATTTCAAACGATTTCCCAAAAAAATAAAATTTTTAGTCAGATTAAAAATTTTTCAGTCACAAAAATACAAAAATATTGACCAAAATTATTGACCAAACTAAAAACAAATTAATTAAAATAAAACCAACCATTTACAGCACTATTTACAGCACTTGCTACTACAAATTATTTCTATCGGTCGGATTTGTTAAATAATTCTAGAGGGACTTAATAGTTCAAAAGCCTATTTAATAGCCTAAACTTTCCATATCCCTTCTGTCACCAACTTTTAAATAAAAACATCAGGACCACTTGCAAAACACATTTGCCGGCTTCTCGAGCTTTTGCAATTCGCAGAACAACATTATCCTCAATCACATAATCTATCGTACCAAGATCATCTAAAACAAATAAGATGAATTTAATTATATCAAACTAAAATTTTCAAAAAATTTAAAAAAGATAAATTGTAAATTGAAACAATGGAGAAAAAAAACGTAGAAAAAGCAGAACAACACGCTCTAATAAAATCAAATATATAATTATATAATTATATATTATATAAATATAATTTAAATATTTACAATGAAAAATTTTTGCCCATGCTTTTCAACATACCATTTATAATCCTTTTTGATGAAAGAAGCTTTTGATCGACAATTTCCTCTGTGTATACCAAATCAGCACCATAGTCTAAAGCCAATACTCTGGAAAATCCAATACTTTTGATCATTACAAAATATCACAATATTTGTTCTTAAATGACATAATTCTATAATAGTAGAAAATGAAATGGAGAAAAGTATGAAATATACGATGGTACATAGCCGATAATAAAAAACCACTAAAAATAATTTTAGCAGCGACATTTACACTTTTACAAACTGTTCTATAAACCAAAAATTTTAACAAAAATATATTCCACAGTTTTAATAAGTTACTAAGTTATTATAAAAATAATGAACTAATACTTCACCTTAAAGGCGTTCGACCAGCTTTGACCATCGGCGCCAGTATTGTTTTGTTGGCATAAAATTCACAGTCTCGACCACCACCACTTCCCATAAAATTATTAACTGAAATTGAAAAGAACCAAAACCAAAACCCAATTGCCGACTAACACCAAATTAAGATCCTTTCAGTATTATAATCGAGGCTCAAAAATAAGTTCATCTGTTCGCTGATATGGCGTGATGATCTTAGCCACAGCAGTGCTAGAACTACCCAAATGAACCACCCAAAATAAAAATCCGCGTCCACCTATAACTCAATTTAAAATAACGAATTAAAAATACCTACAAAAGCTGAATATAATTCAAATTGCAGTTCATCGAAATGGAAGAACTTAAAGTTTTAAAATCTTTATTTTTATTAAGTTACAAATTTCTGAAAAAAAAGGATAAACAAGAGCAAATAAAAATATCATTCAAACATTTTAAAACCCTTTTCAAACAATAAAAACCTTTTTTAAAAAATAATTTGCTTAAAAAATACAAAATTATAAATTTGATGCCATAATAATCTGCACTCGAAACACTCGTAGTATGATACTTAAAATTACATCTTTTTTATAATTTTATTTTTATAATTTCTATATGTCCCTGATTTTCTCAATTTTTTTCGGCTGATTTCTCTTTTTTTCATCGTCAGGGACTTTTAAAAACTTTCACCATATTCATTCAATAAATGAGACAGTTTAAGAAAGATTAGCATTATCAATTCATTTACAGAAATCTAAAAAATCTCTAAAAATTAGATATAAATTAATAATACATTCGATATTTTGAATGAAATGCAGCCCAGACATGAAAAATATGAAGAAAAATCGTGGAGGGTTCCGAAAAAAATCATTAATTTCAAATGAAATATGTTCCATGAGTATAATTTATTTCAAAATAATATGAGGTAAAAGAATAAAAGATTATACGAACAAAAATGTGCCGAAACATAACTACATAAACTAGTGAAAATTTCATTACCCTTTAATTTTAATTTAAGGCAAAAGCAAAACCAAAAAAAAATTCAAATTCAGTTTCAATTTTCAACTATTAAAATCCAATATTGCCAAAAGCAATTAATTATTTAAAATATTTAACTTATCAACTGATGATATTCGGAACTTCCTCCAATGAACTAAATCTTATCCACTAGCTTAGGGACAGGCAATGAGATTCATTAACCAGTTGAAAAAATTGAAAATCGAAAAAAATTTAAAAAAGAGGCAATTCATAAATTCGAAAGCACTACAGAATCGACCATTGCAGAAACCGAAGCACCGTTATATCTCATCCCCGCCAATCGTGTATCACAAGCATATTTATATAACATTGCTAAAATTGATCGAGCAGGTAGACCTAATGAATCTGAAATTATTCAGTTAATCTCAAAAATATAAAATTGGTTAAGCAAATCAACTAATTTTTGATTTTCCACCAATTTCAAACGATTTTTCAAAAAAATTATAAAATTTTTAGTCAGATTAAAAATTTTTCGGTCACAAAAATACAAAAATATTGACCAAACTAAAAACAAATCAATTAAAATAAAACCAACCATTTACAGCACTATTTACAGCACTTGCTACTACTTCACGAATTGATGAATCCATTAAATAAGCTAAAGGTGAGTTGCGAGGAGATGGTTGACAAATTAGCGAGAATACGTCCTAAAACCAACTGATTAATAAAAAAATTATGAACCTCAATTATGTTTAATTATGATTAATTATGAACCTCACATTAATTTTCAAAAAAAATTCTAATTAGATCATTACAGTCAGAAAAGCAAAAAATTTTAATAAGTTAAAAGAAAAGAAATTAAGATACCACAAAAAATTACAAAAAACGACATAAATAAATAAATGGATGATAAATAATCAAAAAGTAGTACAGATTTCATAGGAAAACTATTTATCCAAATTATAAAATCTTTATTGCTGATTTGAGCCTTTTTTTAAATCAATTGAATAAAACTATAATCTGATGAAAATTCGAGAAAAGAGCGAAAATCCTATTAGTGGCAATTTCCGGCAACAAATATATTAACATGACCACATTTAAATGAACGCATTTTTCAAAATTATGTCAATTTTTTTGTTATTTATACAAATGCAAATGAGCGGTTAAATTCTGCAAATTAATAAATTTACTTGAACATATTTTACGACGAATGGATCAGGTGAAGGAATTTCAGAGAGTAATTCCTGAATGCTTCTACCATATTCTATAACTCTGCCAAATTGTCCGTAGAAAATTGAATCATTGGTCAAAATCGTATTCGAACTTCGTCCTATTTCTTCTTCGTCTCTTTCTTGCAAATTTTGAACAACGTCTAAATAAATTTCGTAAGAAACTAAATGGACTTTCATTTTTAATTAATGGGTTGACTTAAGAATGTCCAAAATAAAACATTCATCACTCCTATTTTCTTCGTGATTTATACAATTTATTTGGCAATATTCCTAAATTTTCTGATAATCTCTGCAATCAAAAACACTAACCGAACTCCTCAGCAATAGTTGTGGATGAAATAATTCTTTGATCTTCCAGAGCTTCAGCCGACACATCTACATTAAAAAATTGAAATAAAACGAAAATATATTCGAAATTCGAAAATATAACTAAATGAAACTAAAAGGAAAAATCTACATAACAATCTTCCTTATTCATGAACTGAGAAAAAAACGACGATTGTATTAATAGAATTAATAAAATGAAGAAAAAATATATCAAATTGATATCTTATTTAAAAAATGAATTATTCTGAATTAAATAAATTACATTTTTTCCCAATTTATTAAAAAATATAGTTCTAACGTTTATAGCATATAAAATATATTTTTTCCTTTTTCCCATTATTTTTCCAATTTATTCCTTGCATTGGCCTTTTTTTTCTCTTATCATTACTTATTCTTGGCTTTATAATATTTTCTATCAAAATATTTTTGAATACTCTCATTTCTATCACAAATAAATCTTGATTAGATAGGTTAATGAACAAAAAAAACGGGAGAATTGCAAAATATACCATGATGAACTGAACCATTGGAAGAAATTTTCATATCATCCGTTATTTCCACAGTTAAATGCGGTTGATCAGAAAACCTAAAAAGTGCTTCATAATCAGTTGTTCATTTACACTGAAATATTGAAAAAATACTGATTAATTTATTTATGAAAATATACTATGAATAAAAATTGAAATAGCCCGTAAAAAGCAAAGACTAATGGACCGACAAAAACCAAATACCTCATAACAGGAGTACCATGCGAAGTAAAACCGTTAGGAGAATTGTGAAATTCAACTGCTCTCAGATTATCCGTAGTATGAACTGGTGATAAAAATCCAGGTCGACGATATAATCGAAACGCTCGACTGCGAGCTATTTCTTAAATAATGAAAAATTGAAAATAATTGAAAAATATTTAATATTTCAACTAAAACACAAGAAGATGGCACAGTGAATGATTAAATAAAACGAAATCACGCAAGCATTTTCAACTGATCATTGATAAAAAAACAGAACCTTGTTCATCAGTTAACCCAGTACATTTCACATATTTCACTGATCGTATAACACCACGACTGTCGACAACAAATGAAACTCCCAAATCATCGAAAACTTCAGCTGATGTTTCACAGTATCCTTTAATTCAGCAATAACAATTCAAAAAAATATTAGATTATCCAAAAGACCAATGTGAAATATATATCCTTTTTGGATACATTAATAATACCACCAAAATTAAACATATTCAATTTTTTATATTGATGATTATAAAAAAATCGTTGGCAGATTAGATGAAGTTTATGTAGATTATAAGATTATCTAATTTTTTTTTCCTAAAAGGGCTCACCATTTCTGGTCGTTCGCTCTCTTCAAACTTGACTAGACGAAAAGACAGGGAGTTATTTAGCGATAAAAGTACAGCTGGATTGCCAGCATCTACTGAAAGACGATTTATTCCTGCTGGGAAATAAAGCACCGCCGCTCAAAAAATAAGATAACTGATTCAAAGTTAAGTAAAAAAATCTTTTCGTTACATATTAATTCATAATTTCTGGTAAACTTAAATATCAGACCTTATTAATTATCGCCAATGAGAATCGAAATTTCCAGAAGCTTTGGTAGAATAGTTTCAATAGTAGAAAAAACATACAAAATTAGGTGCAAATCTTAGGTCAAATATATTTAAAAATAGATGAAAAAAAAATTTAATTTATATGTTACTTATGCTAGTGCATATGGGGATATGATAATTCCCTTATAACTTATAATTTAAAGAAAACGGATAAAATTATTTGAATTACAGGAATATTTTTAGAGGATAAGAGGTATATCGTGAATATTCAATAAACTAACTGGGATTACCGAAAACTTAAATAAATTGACCATAATATGTTAGAAGAAACTAAAAAAAATTTAATTTGGTCATGAAATCTTATATCATTACGTTAACTGATATTGCGATAAATTCCATCTCAAATTAAATTATAAAAGTCTATCAGTGCTATGTTCTGCTTAATTTGTATAAATAAATTTTAAAAATAAATAAATTTTATAAATATATCGTAATATAAAATAAATTCTAAAAGAAAGGTAAATAATATTGAAAAAATTATTAGTGCCAATCTTATTCAAGATTTCAATTCATATCGTCTATCGCTTCATTTCTTCTTTTTCTGACTATTCTTCTATGCTTACTATCCTAACAATGATACATGCTATATTCTGATTAATTTTTGTATAAATAAAGTTTATAAAATATTTAGAAATAAATATCTGGAAAAAAATAGTATGAAAAAATTCAGAAAAATTTCCAATTTTCACAAAAGTATGAAAACTTTTCAAGATGTTTTCTAAAGAATAAGTTTTTAAAACGAAAAAAATAACTAGGACACTTGGCAGCTAAAATCGAGAAAAGTGCATGAAAATAGAGAATAAGAATTTGAATAAAAAGAGTACCTTCACAAATTAACCCCGAACAAAGCCAATCGGGTTTAGATTCTTTATCAACTGTACGTTCATGAATCTGCGAAGGTGCGCTTGTTTGAGAATTCGTATT